AGGCTGTGGCAGTGAGAGTATAAGATATCCCAATAGCATCTGCGGTAGCAGTAATGCATAATCGTTGTTGTTTGGAAAATTATAGACATGTGGATTATGAGAGAATGCAATCAGAAGTGTGCGTGATAGTTCAGAGGCAAAGGCTAGTAATAAGCCAATCCACGTCAGTATGAGTAGTCTGGGAATGAACTTGTGGAAACATGCTCTGATGACATGCAAGTGTACTATTATTACGACAAATGCAGTGGTCAACTGTAAAATGTGACTTGCTACCAAGCAGCCTTCTGTTCCAATTACGTTAGTCACAAAGCTTTCATCGCTGCAAGCAAATCCAATAACAGCAATGAATAGTGGTAGCATGTGAAAGAATGTCTTTACATCTTCTACCTCTTCCTCTGTGAATGGTCCACCATATTTATCCTTACCCAGGTCCAGTCTTGAAGGAGCCTTTTCCTCCCAGTAGGTCAGAGCACTACGATTCTCAGGATACTTGTGCTTCCTGGCATAACACAATACTCTAACTATCAGTTTGATGGGATTCTTGATCAGTGATACATTCTCCAGTTTGTGTTTGAAGAAAGAATGAGAGACCAGTACAAGAGTTAGGAATATTCCAGATGCTATAAATGAAAACAAAACTGCATATTCACTATAATTCCCAAAGCAACTCAATACAGATAAAAACAGTCCTGAAGTAAGACTGACAGCGAGATGCCAATATATAATAGATTTCAGTTCATCGGATGAAGCTCCAATAAATTGATCGGTGTTGTATTGAATGATGTTGGACTTGATGCAACAAAAACTCGCAGTACATGCAAGATAAACTATACCATACATCCAAGACAAAAACAACTCAGAATTGTAAACGAGGCCATACACAGTAAAAGCAATCCCTGACGTGAGCCACTGCAAAAAACACAGCACCATGCCAATCATTATAACCTTATATCGTCCAATCCATAAATCAGCCATCATCCCAAAGAGAGGGAAGAAGAGAAATGTCAGACAAAGCATCATATCCATACCAAAGTAATCCTTTGCCGACGTTGATGGTGTGGCTAGGCGGCTAGTCATAAGGAAATATGCACTCAGATATAAAGACAATGACAAGAGATAATCCCAAACTATCAATAACACAGCTGAAAAAGGACAACAAATACAGCAGATTTTCTTGTTATGATTAGGCATTGTCGTGGGCTTGAAGGAAAAGAGAAAAGTTTGAGTGTGTTTATAATATGCAATACAGGATGACTCAGCAGAATCTGGTTATTTTAATAAAATAAAATAAATAGATACAGCATTTGAAGGCTGTCAAGTTATAACTGGCAAATCCTCTAACTTTTGCTTCTTTGATTCTGCTATTTCTCTTTCCTAAAATAAATAATTTTTTAGCTAGAAACTGATAATAGTATTGAGACATGAATTAAGAGAAGCTATTATAAGACTTAAGACTGTAAATCATTAATACTTGAGATATTGTGCTAAGTTAACTTACAGTTCCATATTGATAAAAATGTGGTGCAAGTTGATAAAGCCATTCTGGATCAACCTAATGATAAATAAATTTTATTATCAATGTACATACAAATTTATTATGCAAGCCCATTATAAAACACAGTGGGTAGAGTCAGAGTGCTTACTACAGTCACATCCCTCATGAATAGGCTTGATGTCTGAAGGACTTCATTGAACACAACCCTATAAAGCAGTAATTATTAATGCATTAGCTAAAATAAGAACTGAATGTGAAGTAAAAGGAAAAGAAGCAAATTCCACAATAAACAACAACAAACTGAGCAGAAATATCACAATAATCATAACAAAATTTTATTTGAACTTTAAAGCAATATAAACAATATAGTTACCATTGAGGGCTTCTTTCCTCAAACAGTATTGATGAAGGATGAATATGAAGAGTGTGATTGCCTCTAATAGTCCTACAAATGGACCCAACCAGTATTCACAAGTACACGTACACGAATAATGATATTACTTGTAGCATGTTCCTGTGTAATGAAGCCTTGCAGCATGAACAAAAAATCCTGACACAATACACTTTTGAATTGGAATAGGATCATCTAAAAGAATGCAATTAAATTAAAATGATTATTTATAATGTCTTACCATGACAAGATACCAATTTAATCTTAAATCTATGAAGCAACCTCTTCAATTGTTCTCTAATGCTCACAGCATGGCAGAGGCCTATAGTAATGTATAGGCATCACCTATAGCTCCAATCTGATAGCACTTACTCTTGTAATGTATAAAATTTTGCTGACACCATCTTGGATCTTGATTATACTAAAATGACAAGTCAACTATCAAGGACATGAATGATAATACTAACCCTGATAAAGGCATTGTAGACATTAAGTAGGGTCAAATGATCTCCCTCATACACGCAAAACTTTCTCTTTGCTTGCGACTTAAAGTAAAGAATACTATAAGAACTAAATGGGGTATGAGTATCTCACAGCGTTGGCTTTTTGTCTTGTTGGCTGATGGAATGCATGATTAACTTGCAGCATAGCAGTAATTGTTAATATCTCCTCAGAGCAACCAAAAGACTCTAATGATGAGAATGAGTTGGTCTATGTACGTGTATGTGTGTATGTATACCTGATAATAATAACATTCGAGCAAACATGGGATTGAGTGGAAACTCAGCCATCTGCATACCAAGAGGGTTGGTCAGTTTACCTTCATCATCCAATGCTAGAGGGAAAGGAATGATAGTGAATAAGCAAGTCCACAAGGATCAGCATTGTATGCATGTCTACCTCCAAGAGCATAGAGCAGCTCTAGACCTTGTAACAAAGACTCAGCAGGAGGAGGCTATGAGGAAGAATGAGTGAAAAGAGTTAGAAAAATTAATGGAAAGAGTTTTAAAGGAACAACATGCAAAATATGCAGCTACTGTATATACTCACAGAGAGGTAGTTGAATCTTAAGACATTATCAATTCCTAAAGCTTTCAGTTGGAGCACGACAGGAGCCATGCTGCTTCTCTGAACCTCTGGTACAGTGGTAACATCAAGAGCTCTGTATGACTCCTCTATATATTCAAGCATAAATACAATAATATGAAGTATGGAAATAATAGATAGCTGAGTAGAAGGGGTGCAAATTTTAAAAGTTGCTCCAAAATTGGGTAAAAGTCTCGGACCAAATTTTGCCAAAATTAAAAAGGAGGGATTTCTACATTTTTATATTTTTTCCTGATGCATATACAGGTCCTTATGTTGTGTAGAAAGTTTGAGCTGATTCCAATCGAGACTAGATTTTTTATGAATTTTCAAAGTTGCTTAAAATTTGGCCAAAGTCCCTGTACTATAGTACATGGTCTCGGGCCAAATTCCGCCAAAATTAAAAAGGTGAAAAATCTCCATTTTAATATTTTTTCTGATGCACATACATGCTCTTATGTTGTGTATCAAGTTTGAGTTGATTCTAACGAAAATTAAATTTTCTATGATTTTTAAAAGTTACTTCATAGAAAAGCTTACCAGTGTATAGTCTGTATACTTTCCCTGAGCGAACTCTGCCAGCTCTACCGCTCCTTTGTAAAGCAGAAGACTGTGATATTGGTACTATTACCAGTGACTCTATAATAACAACAACAACAACAACAACAACAACAACAATAATAATAATAATAATAATGAAGCACATGTACTGATTGCCAAACCTAGTGATGTCTGTGGAGAGAATGCCTTTAGCTTTACAAATCCACAATCAATTACTGTATCAGAATTATAATATGAAGCAATAATTATTTCTTGTTAGAAAGCTAACCGTACACAATACCGTTGATGGTTACTGATGTTTCTGCTATATTAGTAGAAACAATAACCTGAAAATAAATAATAATAATAATAATAATAACTATTATTATTATTATTGTTATCATTATTATATTCTTAATAAGAGGGGGTTAATTACCTTCCTTGAATTTGGAGGTGTCCTTTGAAATACTTGTATCTGAACAACAAATAATACTAGAAATCTAATAATGATTGCAATATTGCTAATACTTGTTCTGAGTATGGTAATCCTCCGTAAAGAGGAAGAGGGAGTAGTTGCAATCCTTTAGTTACTCTTTCTGCATGTTCCTTCAACAGCTTCACAGCAGTTTCCACCTCTTCCTATATACATGCAAAAAGGGAAAAAGAAGTCATTTGGTACTTGGAACACAGTCTCTATGCATATCTTAACACTGACCTGTCCTGTGAGGAAAGCCAGTATATCACCAGTTGGTTCCTCTCTGTGTATAGCCAGGGCTGTGTCAACAGTGGACTTAACATAATCAGCAACAGGACTAGGGGAAATGAACCAAAGGGCAAGTAAGCAAAGGGTACGAGTAAATGAAGAGCTCACAGTTTCGTGTGATGAATATCAATGTCAAAAGCTCTTCCTTCAATAGTCATGATAACTGCAGTGTCCTTCCTGGGGTCGGCCCTATCCGTATTAGTCTCAAAATAAGATTTAAACAACTGTAAATAAATAAAATAAATAAACTTTCTTTTATACGAATTTTATTACTTCGGCATCCAAGGTAGCCGAAGAAATGATGAGATGGAAGTCATCTCTCTTTTTCATTATCTATAAAATATAACTCATTATTACTATTACTATGATAGAATGTGTCTTTGCATACTTTCTTTAACAGACCAATGACAATATCAGTGTTAATATTACGCTCATGAGCTTCATCCAGCATTACAACACTAAGAGATAGTAGAGATAATTGCTACTTCATATTATATCCATATGGTCAAGTATTAATTAGCCCATACAATGTCATATTATACAGTCAATACCTGTATTTCAATAGCAAAGGGTCCCACATCATTTCTCTTGTTAGCATGCCGTCAGTTAAGAACTATTGTGAGAAGTGATACTGTGTACTAAGTGTTTCAATGGAACCTTTATTCTAGTTCCTTTGCTGTCAGTGCAATCATCAAACCTGATGGAGTATCCAACCTGAAGAAGGTGTCATGTGAGAGTCAAGTGGCTATAGTACAATACATATAGTGCATTGTGTGGAGGGTTTCCCAAAGTGAGCTGAGCAGCATGAGCTTCATGAGCTGACAAATACTATGATAATCATACAATACATGTACATGGATTTTGGAGAAACTTTTAGAATTCGTAAAAATCCAATTTTGATCAAAATCAGCTCAAACTTTCTACCCAACATTAAGTACATGTATATGCATCAGAAAATTTTTTGAGCAACTTTAAAATATACTGACAAAAACCTTCATGAGCACTTTGCCAAAATCCTATGGGAAACCCTGATTATATGTACCTCATGGCCTAGCACTACTCCTCTCTCATCAGCTACTCTGGACGCTACCTTTGAAACACAAAATAATCATTAAAAAGGATTTCTTCTCTGGCCTATACTCTATCTCCTTACTGTAGTGACTGCTATCCTTCTTGGTTGAGTAACGGCCACAATGTATCCATTACCGGTCCAGTTGGCTTCGTGAAGATATTGGGGGATCTAGATACAACAAAAGTTAATAATAAAATTAATTTCTTTAGCATTAATTAAACATACCTGCGTTGTTTTTCCACTCCCGGTTTCACCAACAATGACAACAGTGCGATATTTCTCGACAAGATACAGTATTTGTTCACGATACTAGAATATTTCGTATCATTTCATAAACTGTATGTTATCATACTCGAGCAATCGGTAGCCTTTGTCTTTGTTGAGATATTGGTAGATGTAAATGAGTATTGAAAGTCATGCAGGAGCCTGCTCCTTCACTTCCTTGCTTAGCACGCTCCAATTCAACTTGTCCTGAGGGTCGGCTTCCTCCTTTTGATAAACCATAATCAATTAAGCCTACCAGAACTGACAAACCTGGTTTCCAAAACTTATTTGATGTCGCCATCTTTATTAAATTAAACCACGCCCATTGGCAAGGGCGCCACGTGTTATCACGTGTGACATCTAAACATTTTTACTAAAAGCTAAAACTAAAAAGCACTAATGATTGACTGGTTCTAGTTCTGCTACTAAAATTTTACTACTGAGTACTATTGAAGAGTTCCAATAGAACAGCTAGTGTTCTTAATCTTGCAATGATCTTCATCTTGAATCCTTTATAGTCAAAAAAGAAAATATATTGGCAACTCTATTATATACACATACCTTTCTGGTGCCACTTTTGATTGCATAGATTTTCCAATTTTAGTGTTAGTAAATAATTTGCCCCCATGAGGATTGAAGTAGACATTAAAAATCTATCAAAATCAATAGAGTCACTATACTTAAAGGTGCTCTAGTCCTATACCTTTGGAATAAAAGTGAACCCAAGAAAAAGTGTTGCATCAATAAGCAAGCCCAATCCAAACAGTGCAGCATAAGCATTGTGACTGCGGTCCAAGACAAATTCTGTGACACCGAGCATGACCAGAACAATACTGTTAATGTAAATGATGGCAGCTATCTCCTTTGATTCATTGAGAGCCTTCACGTTCACATTGCGCATGTGAAAGGCCATGAATATGGCGCAAAGTTGAAGGATTCCTTTATAGCCAAATGAAAACAACTCCGAAATTATAGAGCTATTACAAATGACAACAAAATAGTGTACTATTCTTCCATTATCCTATGATACAAAATCAGTGTTAATGAGTATACTTGACATTCATGGACTTTCTTACATCTACCACAAGTGGATGCTCTTGATCCCTTACAATGGCATGCTTTATCCTACCAGTAAATATAATTATGAGGTCAATAAGCACAATGCCTATTATTATAAGCAAAAGCATCCAGTTTTTGATCCCCTAATCATATAAAAGGTGAAACCATTTGAGCTATAGCTAATCAGCTATGCTTACCACTTTCTTTTTTGCTTTTATATTGCTAAAGATATAATAGATCCGCCATGTCCTAGACAAAATGACACCAAAACAGAGGTTGTATCCCAGAGAAAACAGCCGTGACCGTGACTTTAAAAATAGGTTAATGCTAGGCCATAAACTATACAGCTTACATTGCAAAAGACTTCTTGTGTTTTAGGATTGTATGGAGTATAAGAGAAAAAGAAGACACTTATATACAATACTGCTGAGCCAAGAATAATCAAATAGTTCAATTTAGCATTATTTGCCATTAATACTCTAGTAATATAACAATAATATTCACACATACTGTGAATGGCTTACTTCTTGTTACTATAAACAATGTTGAAAGTCAAACACAACACTGCAAACACAATGCCACAACCTGCAGTTAGGCTGTAGATGACAACCAGCACAATATGGTTTGAATGCAATCTATCCACTGGGTAGCCGTCATATGGAGGAGACCCACCTGGTAATACAAATAAATCATAAAATAATAATATTATATTCTGGCTTGCCAATCCACAAGCTCGTGTTTGATTCTCCTTTTAAAAATTTGAAAATACTTCTTTGAGATTCTACGGTAACACGACCAAATGTCATTATATTAACTGTGGTCCCTATGATTGTCTTATTAAATTAAAAAATCTATAATATAGAGATACCTGATGATCTATATTGACGACACAATATAACATTGTCCAGTCGACTACCATTAAGAGTGAAAGCTATATCACCCTATGCACACACACACGTATAGGCTACAATACAGTTTAATACAAACTTGACTAACAGTTATTCCAAGGAAGTTAACTTCACTGAAACTCTGCTTCAAAATGCATCCTAACTTCTTATTAGTGTAGTTGAAATATTCCAATGGTGCTATTTCTCCGGACAGTTTTTCACACCCAGTCTCATTACCAAAAAGGATCTTCTTGGATGCAATGTCTAATCCAACAGCAATAGCCCACACAGCATCAAAAGCAAGTCCAGCAATTCCTAATTCTGTTAAATTTTCATACTTAGGCTCTTGTAGAAGAAAATGATATTGATCAGCAAATATTCTTGAAGTCTACACAAAATAATAATTATGGTTTTTAGTTGCATATTTGCCTACCAAGCCAGAGTAAGTTACTATTGACTCATTCTCAAGTGGGAAAAATCCTTCAGGAACTACACCCATGATGCCATTCAACATTTGTAACATGATATCATCAGTACAGGAGCAGTTTCCAGAGGACACAGTCTTCCACCAATCTGGAGCATACCACATTGGAAGGATCCATACATACTTTGACCCATACATTCCTCTGTAATATGCCTGGTATATAAATGGTAATGTAACATCATAATAATTGATATATATGTACATACACATACCTTACACAGTACTTGATAGCTAAAACTAGGATAAGCATTTATTTTATTTATTCTAAAATTCATAGCATCATTCTACAAAGAAAATAGTTACCATAATGCTGATAAAGAACTTGCTAACTCTTGCAAAGAAAGGATCCAAAGAACCTCCTGTTTTAATAACATATCCATTAAGAACCAAACCTCGTGTCTTAAAGGCGGTACTAATACTTACTAATGTCTAAAAACACACTAGCTATTATCACAGCATTCATTTGTTAGCTTACATTTTGAAACAAAGCCTCATCTTGCGTTATGACTCCCATTTGTTTCCATCCAAACTCTACCATAAGCTGTGCTAATGCTGTACCAATAAAGCGCTGTGCTATTATTGTTCTGAAAAAATTCCTGTATCGATGACGATCAAATAATGCCAGAGAGCTAGATGCAAAGGCAACCTACAGTATTAAAAAAATCATTGATACACTTACAATTATTATATTAATTCTGCATACTTGCGGTATATTCCAATAGTGACTAATCTCAGCTACTGGAATGGTAGCAGTAGAGCATCCACAACCCAACAATGCTAAAATAGTAGCATTACGGTTCACTAATTTGAAGAACTGGTCCAAAGAGCTTGTATAAGAACACTATAAAAATTAATTCATTATTAAATATAATTTGAAATATTGCACTTTTGAGTCCAGAAAATCAGTATACCCCAATGTATAGTTCTCAAGGAGGTCATTCCTCTCGTTAATGAGTTTCAATGCCAAATCAACAACAGGTATGCTCCCACTGGCTATGAAAGAGCCAGTGAGTGAGGTAATGTATCCAAACTGAAGAGAAGAGTTCTTTTTGAAAACTGAAACTGATGTGGAAAGTGACAGAGACACAAGGAAAAGAAGACAGAGCAGCTTCATGACTTTTACTCACACTGATGAAATAAACAAGGATGTGTACTGTGATGAGTTTAAATAATGAGCACGTGCATATGAAACTTGAGGATGTGACTCATAAATTTCACAACCATTAACACTTAAGAAAACCTTTAGTGTTTTAGCCAAGTTAGGTAAAAATGAGAGCGAGTAAACATTAACCAATAAAGGTAAAAACTAAAAATAAACAAGAGTGATATGCCTTTTAGTTTTTAAACATGACTTCTTTTTAAAATATGACTAAAAATAATTAAATATCATTATAGAACTAATACAGTGATACTCAAAACAATGAATGAAAATACTCAACTAACTACAGTAAAGATTAATTAATTGTCCTTCATTATACTGTTCCTGCATAAGACAATATGGCATTGGTAGGCTCAATTTTTGCTTGAGAAAGAGCAGCTACAATTGTCGTTTTGTGGTTGAATATTTTTGTTCCTTGAGGATCAAAATACAGGAAAAAGATCTTAAGAAAAAAAAGGAAAGTTCTTATCTTACATGTAAATGTATATGTTGGATTTCATTTACCTTAGGAATAAAGATAAATCCCAGAAATAGGGTTGCTTCTATAAGCAAACCAAGACCAAATAGAGCAGCATAGGCGTCATGATTACTTTCCAGAGCCAACTCAGCCACAGCAATCAGAACTAGTATGATGCTGTTAATATATATAATGGCGGCTATCTCCTTTGATTCATTGAGCACTTTCACGTCCACATTACGAGTGTGGAATGCCATGAAAATTGCACAGATTTGAAGAAAGGCTTTGTAGCAAAATGAAATGCTAAGCCAATAGAAGGAATTCTTTGTGTGGCATAATAATAAGAAATTCTTCTGTATCAAACCATCATCCTTCACAAAAGAATTAGATAATTATAATATTAATATTAACCAACAACACATACAGTGACTGTCTGTGGGTGGATGGTGTCATTTGTGAAAGTGGCAGACATTCTTGACAATGGAATAGTTGTGCCAATAGTTATGATGGTCATGTCAATAGCCACAATACACAGTACCATTAGAATGAGAATCCAATCCTTAATTCCCTATAATTAAACAAGCTTTAATCTAAAGTAATTGACATATAAATATTATTACAGTGGATTTCTTTTTTGGCTTTGGATTGTTAAAAATGTAATACACACGCCAAGTCCTTGCAAGGATTACACTAAAACAAAGGTTATATCCCAAAGAAAACAGCCAGAGTCGAACCTGTTACAAATTAAGATAATTCACAACTCTTTCAGGCTATACTGGAGCTTACATTACAAAAAGCAGTTTGCATTCTCTGCATATCAGCAGTATAAGAGTAGAAAAAGACGCTTAAATACAAAAATACAGATCCAAAAATAATTATGTAGTTTAAGCGAGGACTGCTCAGTTTCACTAATCTATAAAATAAAAAAATAATAGCAGCCTGGGTCATTACTTACTTCTTGTTACCGCAGACTATGTTAAAAGTGAAACAGAATGTAGCAAATATAAGGCCACAACCTGCCAGTATATTATAAATGATGACTATTACAATATTGTTTTGATGTATTTTATTCATTGGATAACCATCGTAGGGAGGGACACCACCTAAAGACAGAAAAATAGAACACTAATAGCTACATGTACATGAGTAGCCTACCAATCCATAGGGTACTGCTCGATTCTCCTTGTATGAATCTAAAAATGTTTCTTTGAGCTTCTACTACAACATGACCAAATGTGACCCTTGCTACTGAATTTGCTACAGAACATAATAGTACCACTAAATATCATTATGTTGATACCTGATATTCTTCTGTATTGTTGATATAGTATAATGTTGTATGGTCGACTACCATTCAAACTGTAAGTTATTTCACCCTATACATTATTACAGTGAATAAAAATCAAAATTTAATTTGCAACCAACAGTTATTCCGAGGAAATTAAGTTCACTGAAGCTTTGCTTTATAACACATCCTAGCTTCATATTAGTGTATTGAAAATGTTCCAGTGGTACCAGTTCTCCAGGCAGCCCCTCACATCCAGTCTCATTCTTAATCAAAATCTTCTTAGATGCTACATCTAACCCAATGGCAATAGTCCACACAGTATCAAAGACAGTTCCAGGAACTATTTCTGAATAGTTTTGATACTTGGGGTCTTGGAAAATCCAATCAATTTTATCACGAAACATTTTTGAAGTCTATAAAATATTCAAGCATTCATAAAATATTAAAATTATAAGATTACCAAGCCAGAGTAAGTTATTATTGACTCATTTTCAAGTGGAAAATATCCCTCAGGAACTACACCTATGATGCCATTTATCACCTGCAACATGACATCATCAGTACAGGAGCAGTTTTTAGAGGATACAGTCTTCCACCAATCTGGACCGTACCACATTGGAAGGATCCATACATACTTTGACCCATACATTCCTCTGTAATATGCCTGGTAATGTAACATCATGCATATTAACTAATATACATGTACATACACATACCTCACACAGCACTTGATAGCTAAAACTAGGGTAAGCATTTATTTTATTAATTCTAAAATTCATAGCATCTTTCTATAAAGAAGATAGTTACCATAATGCTAATACAGCAGAACTTGCTAACTCTTGCAAAGAAAGGATTCAAAGAGCCTCCTGTTTTGATAATATATCCATCTAGAACCAAACCTTGTTTTTCAAAAGCACTGATGATCCCTACCAATACCTAAATACTGCAATGTCAATACATTGGTTTTATAATCACATGCAGCTCACATTTTGAAACAAAGCTTCATCTTGTGTTATGAGTCCCATTTGTTTCCATCCAAACTGAACCATAAGCTCAGCAACTGCTTCACCAAAGTAAACATTTGAAATTAGAGCTCTGTAGAAATTCCTGAATCGGCTGCGATCATTTAATATGTGAGTGCTAGCTGCAAAGGCTATCTGTTAAAAAATAACAAACAAAAAATCTCAAGTTTATATTTTAAAATGGACAAAGAAAAATCCCAATAAACTCATGATTGTCATTGTACTTGTAATAATGCACTTACATGTGGTATATTCCAATAGTGACTAATCTCAGCTACTGGTATGGTAGCAGTAGAGCATCCACAACCCAACAATGCTATAATAGTAGTATCACTATTAATCACATTAAAGAATTGATCCAGAGAAGTGGTACGATCACACTATATAACAAATAATAATGAAGCAATGAAATAAGATTTACTTTTGAGTCAAGTATGGGAGAGTAGCCAAGTGTATAATTATTTAGAACATCCTTCCTATCATTAATAAGCTTCAAGGTCAGATCAACAACAGGTATGGCACCAGAAACTACAACAGGCCCAGTCAGTGTTGTAATGAATCCAAAAGTAAGGGAGGACTTGTTATGAATTCCTGCAACTAAAGAGACAAAGAGAAAGAAAGAAAAAAGAACGCAGAGTAACTTCATTGCTGTCTCTTCAGTTCTTTCAGCTTATTAAAATATAAATAACTGTAAAAGGCACTCATAATACACCAGGTTACATAATTTGCAACTATTAACACTTTCGGTTTACTTAAACCTCTCCTATTTTGGTGACAGCCGAACCCAAATAAGTTTAAAGGGAGGAGTTTTTGTTTTACCGCTCCATGTGACATAACACGACATCATTACAATTTGGATTAAGGACTGCATGGTGCATTAAGAATCAATTCACTGATACAGACAGATATTCTTATATTTTCAAACGGATGCATGATGCATTAAGCTTTATTTAAGTCTCCACTGTAAAGAAGCAAATTGAGATGATTCCCAGTTTAGTTGGCTCCTCTTCCTTCAAACGTGCACAGAGAGGAATATTTGACACTGGACTAGAGAGGGTAGATAGCAGTGGCATAGGAACAAGTATGATTTTTGACATCATTTGCAACCATTCAAGACCAGGTTGGATTGACACTGTGTGATATCATTGACACATAGAGAATTGTCATAAATTCACAATTGTTAAGTATCTGGAAATTAAAGTACTCCCATGGTATTTATCCATCTATCATACCATCCATTGAGCAACATAGCTGCAAGAATTAGTGCAATATGACTACTATAATAGAATGCATTTGTGCAAAGTTATTGTATGCATCATAAGCATGGAGAATTTCCATATTGTAACTTTATGTTGAAGAATCTCGTTCAAGGCTGCCTCCTTATAGAATGCTCTGTTGCCTAGTTCTCTTTAGACAAACTAAATTCCATTTATCATACCATCCATTGTAATCTCATAGAAATGCTGAAGTTGCCAGTGGCTATATAATTGACCACAAATAATGTTAAAAATACAGAAATAACCATGCTTTTTAGACATTTTAAAGACTCAAAATATTTGCCACACCACAACAACCACAAATGTAAATAAAATATATTTCGATAATCAAGAAAAGTTTCAGATAATAGACTAAGTACATGATGAAAAAGAAACATGTTCCATTATATAGTAGCTGCCACTGACATGATCCAAGCAACACAAGAGAAAAAAGACATAATTTTAAAAGTCTTAAAAGACATTTTAAGACATAGGAAAAAAGACTCTATAGCTAATAATAGTTATACTCTATGCCACACTGACCACCAAACCTTTGGTAGTATAAGCTGCTCCGAATTATGAATGGTCATAACACAAAACTAACAAAAGATACAAAATTGCCATGCAGGCATCTCTAGTGAGTATTATAGCAAACACAACAAAATACAACACAGCAAATATAATAAAATTTGCTTCTCTCTGACAAATTAGAACTGGGTACAGTAACTATAGATTCTCTTGGCGGTTCAGCTTCCAATTCATTCAGTATTGCTTTCCAGCCATTAAGATTCTCCTCTAGTACTAGGATAACTTCTTTGGTCTTTTTTGCAGCATCTGAGTTAGACTCACCGGTTGTTCGGTACTTATGAACATCATAAGAAGCTCTGAAAATTACTCCAATATCAATTGGAAGGAAAACGACATCCAGTACAATGCTACCAATACTTAGTATCCCACCAACAGTCCGGAGGCCTGTAGCTGCCAAACGAGTACCAGTGGCAGCAGTCCTGCCCACAGCAACAGCACTGGTAGCAAGTCTAGTTATATCACCAGCCACTTCAGTAAATCGTCCAATATTATAGACCAGTAGAGCAGCATTCCTGGCTAAAGATCCATGTGCATCGTAATACTTCAATTGAACGTACACTGTATCTTTACATATTCTATGCCTTGCTGAGAGACTTTCAATATAGCTGTCCAATTCTTTGCCATACTTCTCAATCTCAGCTGCCTGGACTCTATCTCTTTCAACAGCTTGCTGAACATTCTTAAGCAAACCACTGGATACAGCATGATACCCAATTTGAGCACCAGCAATAGTTGCACCACCAGCTGCAGCGAGACCAGCTCCTACACCTGCAACAATAAAGCCAGCACCGAAAGTGAGCAATCCTGTAGTGACCCCAACAATGCCTAGAACAGACCAGATATTGCACGTGTATACACGATACACGAATATTTACACGAAAATAACAGTAAAGAGTAGATAGATGTAGATACAAGGTGATTATTCCTTAATACACGAAAATTACACGAATATTTTTAATTTTAATAATTAAGGGGTGTGGTTTTTAAAATGGCGACCGAAACATGTGTTACTCCTAGCTCAAGAAATATTGATTATTCTTTCTTCTTTACACTGCCTACTCGGCCCCAAATGAACAAAGACTGTGTGGCTAAATGTAAGACATGTTTAAAGGACTACAAATTCACGTTAACTACAAAAGGAAACCTTCTCAAGCACCTACAAACATCCCACTCTCACTTACTAAGAAATCACCGAGAAGAACGGCAGCGTCAACTAAGAAGTTCTAATCAGATGCTTCTTACAAGTGATGTGCAAGCTAAGAAAAAGCCAGACTTCAAGAATCAGGACAAAATTGCTACATCTGTTGCCTTAAACTTGTGTGGTCGTGGAGGACTTGCTCTACAGATGGTTGAACAACCATGGTTTCGGTCATTCATGGCTGATGTCGAACCTCGCTTTACACCAATATCAAGAGTATCTGTAAAGAGAAAGTTAAATGATTTGTATACTCATGATAAAGAGCTCTTCCTAAAAGAGATATCAGCATTGCGGCCAAAGCCTACAGTTACTGCTGACTTTTGGACAGCAAGAGATGGTCGAAACTTCCTTGGCTGTACTATTCATTTCATTACTGAAACAGGTCTCTGAAAAATAGCTTACTTTTTTCAAAGAAGTTCCACCTCCACACACTAGTATTAATGTCAGGAATCGTTTCGAAGATGAGCTAGATCGAGTAAAAGTACTATGCTTTCTTGTAGTAACAGACAATGCTGCAAATATGAAGAGTGCCTTCACTATGGAACTTGATGATGAGTTCCCTTGTCCTACTGAAAATGATGAATCCGACAGTGAAGATGAGAACACAGCAATGCTCTCTCAGTGGACAAGCCAACCACTTTCACATTTTGAAGGATGGATTGGGTGTGCTGCTCATCAGCTACAGTTAGTAGTACATGATGGCTATAAAGAGCTTTTAAATTACCGTAGAGTTCAAGCTGCATTTAAAAAGGCGAAGGCTATATGTACTCTCTCGCGTCAATCAAGCCATTTTCGTTATGCATTACAAGAGAAAAGGATACCTACTGCTAATGAAACACGATGGAACTCGTACTTAAGAATGCATAAATACATCTTAAAACATGTCGATTTATTAATACTGCATTAGAAAGTTGTAACCACTTAACTCTCACTATTACTACTACTGATAAAGAAAATCTTCAAGGTGTAGTAGATGTCCTGGAATACTTTGCTGAAGGAACGGATATCCTACAACGGGAAAATGAACCTACCTCTTGTCGTGTTATTCCTGTCGTTGACTCTTTAGAAAATGCAATTAATAGTGTTCCAAGAGATAATACAGCTATTAATGCATTGTGTGAAGCTCTCAAGAATAGCTTAGAAAAGCATTTCAGATACTTACTTGACTCTGCAGTTCATCAAGCATCAACTGCCCTTGATCCGAGAATCAAACTCACTTTTACAAACAGTCATACTGAAGGCAAGTTTTTCAAGTTTTATCCAACCACTGTAAAGGATAAAATCAAAGAACTTTTACCTCAAACTGATTCTATTGCTCCGCCTACTACTGAAGCTGTATCTACACCCACTACTAATGATATTCCTTTAGATTTAGAAGCACAGCCACAAAAGAAGAAACGTCTCTTAGATTTCAGCAGTGTTGTAGTCCATGGCAGTTCTACTAATGAAAATGATGTCGAATTACAAGTGTACTTTGATCACCCTACATTAGATATGAAACCGTTAACTTTTTGGTGTGAGCGAAAGGTTACATCATTATCTACTTTAGCATTACAATTACATTCAGTACCATCGAGTTCTGCACCAGTTGAACGCCTTTTTTCAAAAGCTGGGATTGTTTTAAGTCAGAGACGAACTCGTTTGAAAAATGAACAATTAGAACAATTACTTTTCTATAAATAATGAAGTTTTTGTTACTTGATAACATTTTTTGTAAGTAAATGTAAATACAAGAAAGTAAATGATGCAAGTACATGTATATACATGAGAATTTTTTAATAGTAGATGTAAATACAGAGTAGATGAAAATTAAGTAGATGTGCAATATCTGGAACAGACCCAGTAACTGTAGCAGCTGTTCCTCCTATTGTGGCCTTTTTATGTTTATCATAGCTTTCTTCAATCTCCCTTTTCATTTGATAAATATAAGTAATAGTGTCCTTTCTATGACTTATTCCTATTCTTAGAGATTGCTCCAATTTAGACTTAACTTGGCTTGCTAGATGAAAGTCGGCATCAGTAGTCAGGGAATATGAAGCCATAACTCGGAGATAATTGACTAGTGAGCTTGTAGTGAATGTATGCACGGGTAGCTCTTGTATTTATAATGGCTCAGTAGACACACCTACATCTACATGCACTATAAAGATATTCCTTCCTGTGCTACAAAAGTCGGTGAAATGTGCTACTAAGCATCTCATAAAACAAATATGCAATCACGCTTCCTGCTATAGGCCATGGAAAAGTTACCCTATAAAATTTTTCTTTTGTGACCACACCCATTACAATAATGGCATAAACCATAACTCATTCAGAGCTCAAAAGGTTTATACCCAATAAATAATATATAATCATTGTGCCAACATTAACAAACGACTACAAACACAGAATCACAAAAATCGAAACTCACATGATAATGTATTTTATCTGAAAATCAATGATTACCTGGAAAAAATATCACACACATTATTTTTAATAATTATTCTGCTTGCCTTTCTGTCCTAGAAGCATGCTAGAAGCTTAGAATACTCCGAGCGGAATACACCGCCATTTTATTTCATTTTCATTATCAGTTATCACGTGATCTTCTGCAAAAAAAATTGGGTGGGGCTCAGTTTTATTTCAATTTTTTGCTGTTTGCACTTCTTTTAAAAATCAATTATAATACACATCACAACAGAGAAAAGAGAGAGATTTAAAATAATCAGTAATAATAATAATGATAATAATAATAATTACAAAAGAAAGATTAGACCATAGTGGCTGAGTTGTGTATATTATTAATCTCCCCATTGATCATGCAATCAGGGACATGATCAGCCCGGGACACAGCGGAGGGTGAGTGCTGTATTATCCTTTGAAAGAGAACAGGATCTCTTGTATCTTTCATAAGAGCCACTGCTGGTAGTGAATGATGTGCTGAAGGACTAGTTGTCATATTTTTATAATCATCAGAACAAACTAGCATTCCTCTTACAGTGTATATCTGCTTACCACGCAATGGACAACCTAACAGGAATAATACAGTGGAATAGTCATACTGTAATATAATGGTACATGTGCAAAGCAGTGCAGTATATTACCAGTTTAGCTTACCACATTGAGCACAGCAGAAGCATTTTGTGTGGTACATTCGGCTAGCAAAACTAAACAAACTCTGAGAATTTTCGATTGCTTTTTGACATACAGAGCACGTCCCTATAGAGTATGAGAATAATCATACAGTGCATGTACATGTAAAGCATGTAGAGTTTAGTATGTACCAGTGTACATGAGTTTCTGATACATGCACATATTATTATTCTTTTACTACATGTACTGTACTGTCACTACTGTATATAAAAGCTTAAGCTATTTCTGAGCTCAAAATTTTACCATGCATGGCTGATGTACCTATAGCCCAGTTTTTTTCAAAAAATGGCTCCGAAATCAACCCCAATTTTTATTACATTTTCTGATACATATTGATGTCCTTATGCTATGTAGAAAGTTTGAGCTGATTCTGAACAGAAATTTTCGAGTTACGGCCATTTTCAGAAATCAGCTAATTTTTGAAAAATACCCAAGGCTATAGCCCATGGTTTTTTCAGAAAAATGACTAAAAAATGACCCCCAATTTTTATTACATTTTCTGATACATATTGATGTCCTTATGTTGTGTAGAAAGTTTGAGCTGATTCTGAGCTCAAATTTTTGAGTTATGGCCCTCATAAATAATGTACATGTATATGTACATGTACAGTATCTTCTTTAACAATCACTCTCATGTACATGTAATAATAGACTTACCAAAGTATTTCTGTCTTGTGGTTGATGATAGTGATAGATTAGATGCAGAGCGACTTGTGTGACGATGCTTCCCAGATTTTCCAAGACCGGCCAACATTTGCTCAATCTCTCTATCAGTATCAACTTTAACCGGCTTCAGAGTCCTTGGCTGCTTCAGCCACTGAACTGTTGCCTCTTCCTCTTTAGTGAGTTTGATAGCTCCAGGAACATCAGGACTAGGACTAGAACCACTCCCACCAATAGTAGGAGATCTGTTAGCATTACTAGATGTGAGGTCCTGTGGTGAAGTTCTAACTCGACGCATTGAAGAACTTTCATTAGAACTATTGACAGAATCCGGAGACAATAATTGACTCATTTGCTGTTGGACTGTTGATAATTGATAACCAATGGAGCTAGCAGTATTATAATCTGACACTGATGTCTTAATGCTGCTATTGGTCTCAGTGATATTAGAAGCCTGAGGTTGCATCAATGGAGGACTAATAGTCCTGTGAGGATCCTCAGCTCCCTCTACGATCCTATCCTTCAGCTTCAGTGGAGAGCCCCAAGATGTCCCGAGTTCTTTAAGAGAAGATTGAGGGGGAGCCATCATCTCTGGGTGTACCTCAGGAGTCAGTCCATCATCAAGGGAAGAGGGTGAGTCAGTGTACGGGTAACTCTTAAGTGTCTCCATCGATGGACTGCTCAACGACAGATTCTCTGATGCTATAGAGTAACGAGGCTTGGTCTCTTCGCTAGCAAACTCTGGCGGGGGAGACAAAATGATACTATCCTTTCTGGAGGCAGGAGGAGATGAAGAAAGAGACAGAGAAGGATCAGAATTTATACTGGTAGCACTGGCTATAGGACCAGGCAGGGTAGGATCAACATGATTAACATTATACGGAATAGCAGATAAACTTGATGCTCTCTTTGGAGGAGGCGGTGGTGAGGGACTCCTTGCTTTTGTGTCTATTAGAGGAGACTGTCTGGATGGTGTGGTCTCGTCTTCAGACTGGCTCCCAGTCCCTGACTCGTTAATGAGCTGTAGCGCCTCCTCAATGTCCTCACTGGTGTACCACTGACTGTCAGGTGTGCTGGGAGAGAGTCTCTCTTGTGCTGTTTTCCGAGGAGGAGGAGGAGGAGGAGGAGTGGTTAGGTGATCATAATCATTCTTGTCATCTTCAGAAAGAGTTTGTAGGATACTTCCAGAGCCGCTGAGTCTAGGAGGTATCTTGTAAATATGTTGTCTCCGTCTTCTCTCATCATCAAAGTCAGGGATGCTGGACTCGTCAAGATAAAACACTGGAGGAGGGGCGGGGCCATGTGCCGGGTAACCATGGTAACTAACAGGCGTCATGTGAGAATGATTATGGAGCATTTGAGCGGAATCATATCGTCTCCATCCATCGGATGAGGAGTGAGTAGGAGAGGGTATATCACTAGAGTAAGAGCGATAGAGGGACCTATACTGGCTGTGATAAGGAGGATTCAATGAGGTCTGGCTCTGAGAGAGCCCCCTGGGGTAACCAGGAACCAACCCGGTACTATTAGAAGGAGAAACTCGCTGCTCATAGTCCCTCCAACCTTGAGCAGTGCTCTCTCCTCTCGGAGGGGGAGGGTACATGTGGGTAGTACTGGGTAGGTAGCTAGAGAATGAAGAGGTTGAGGACTCAAGAGAGAGAGTATCAGTCTCGTCGCTGTACTCTCTGTCAGAGTGAGACTGGTACTGGTGGAGGTTGTTCAAGCCCCAGCGGACTCTGTTCTTGTGATGTTTTCTCGGAGCGTTAGAGTTCTTGAGTATCTTCTTCTTTGGCTTCCTGTGAGGCTCGTAAGTATACGAGGAGCTATCGGACGTGAAGCTGCTCTCGCTTAGCGTCGAGAGAGAGTCGTTTGACGTGTAGGAACGAGTCACTAGAGGAGAGGAAGCTACAGGGTAATCGGTGAGACGAGAGGGAGGAGGGTAAGAAGGGTGAGGGGGCTGGGGATGTTGATAGTCGGAGCGAGAGGAACTTGATCTGTAGCTATGCATTGATGGGGAGGAACTACCAGGCATATTGTTAGTACTGGTCTTGTCTAATCGGACGTCCTCTATAGACACTGTGGGGAACTCACCTTCACTAAGACTAGGCTATTAAAAAAAGAAGAAAATAATAGCATGCACTTAGACAATATACACTAACCTCTGGATAAGGTGGATCCGATGAAGGTTTAGGTGATTTCCCCTTAAGGAAAGAGTCTTGACACTAAAAAATAATATAATGATTAATTACAAATAAATGTAAAAATGTACATGTACATGTACTGTACGTGTAGATCTAATAAGTGTGGCATGGCACAGTATGGCTAACCTTGTCTCCACAAAATATTTGTCTGTTGAGAGTAATAAAAGGTTTACCAATCAATCTCTTTCCTAATAAAGAAAGACAGAGAGAGAGAGAGGGAGAGAGAGTAACTTTAAATATACACAATAGAGCAACAGCTGGTTTAAGAATGCACCATAACCATAGCAACGATTGTATTATAACGAGATTCAATGGAGACTCACACTCTCAGATATATGACAGTATCAAATGACACAGGCTTCATTATAAAGTAATATGATACAAAAATACATAGACCATGCATCCATTAATGTACTGTAGTGTGGCATTATCACATGGGAAATATATTGCTATAGAATAAGCAAGAACATTACAGAGAGGGAGAGAGTGAGAGAGGGAGAGGGAGAGAGAGAGAGAGGGAGAGAGAGATGAGATGAGAGGATTGAACTAAGAAAGTAAACAGAGAGAGAAGAGGAAATTAAAACGTGACTACATGTACACAAGTATAATGTACAAAGTACATGTACATTTTTGTATGTCACATTACTGTACACAACACAGTATTTGTACATGTACATGTACCACATGAATAAATTGCCAGAGGATAAAACAATAAATCCGATCAGAAAGTGTAGGTGTTCCATGCCATTTCCAATAATATACACATACTCCACATATTTAGAATACACCAACTATGAATAACATGATTGGGTGATGTGACACTACCAAACAAGCATACTGTACAATAATGAACTCTGCTATAGCAGAGCAGCATTATTCATTATTTAGTTGACTACATGTGTACATGATACGCATACCAATTACAGTCCACATCAAACTACATGTATATTATGCATGTAATAAATAGGTAAAGTCTGCACACACGCAGTAAACAGCAACGCATACAATGTACAGTGTTTTGTGTACTGGTAGCCAAGGGAGGTAGCATGGCTAACAATAGCAAATGACTCTATTGTGACTATTGTATTACGCAAAGAATGTAAACTGTGGGTCTCTAATGATACATCCATTCATCATTACGAGGATTTTATAATGTAGGGAAAGTCTGCAGTTAAGAGAGTCCCTTTAAACAGTAAAGGTGCTTTTCCTGTGGTTATAAGGAGGTGTTTGGGGCCACAGTGGCAGTGGTGATAGCATGAGAGGCTAATGTTGACAGTTATGATAATGACCCATCATAACAAGATTCCTTACTGAGAATCATCAGTGGGAAGTTATCATCAAAAATACCTCTTATACATTAATGTTTTGTGTTTTTTGTCAATAATTCAGTAACGACTGCTGCATAATCTCTATGGCATTTAACACTTTTAAAATTCATACATAAATGCTGGAGTATTGAGTAAACACAAGTATAGACATGATACAACAGGTTAACAGGACAAAGATGGTAAGGAGAATGTGAAAGTGGAAACGACTTTAAACTGATTTCGTTCAATTTCACTTGTTAACAGTTGAGCCATTAATGGACTCGTACACGTAAGAGGCTATGATGCATTCACAGTAAACATCACTTCTAATATATGGACATAACACTTTTCATCAGTGACACTGAGTCAAGCATTGTATGAAAATACCAAACAACACTTAGGCGCTACCATTTTACATGTATACTTACATGCACATGTAAAAGGAATGGAAATTATCACAACGATTTAGTGCATACAGCAAAGTTTTTTACACTTCCCTTGATTACTAAAGCACTAATATTCTATTGTCACCATTACCACAGACACACAAAGCAACTACATGTACTGTACATGTACTTTACAAATAAAAATTCTATTATTCTGACCCTATGAGAAATAATTTTGCATTGACTTACCACAAGCATTGCATAGAAGACAGCGAGCGTGGAAGACCTGCCCGTTGTAGCGGTAAGGTATATGTGAGATCTGACTCCCACACTTAAGACAGATTGAAGGCTCTAGGTAAACAGAATAAAGAACAGAAGCAGCTAACATTATCACACATGAACATACTATTAGCTAAAGGCAAACAACTGTACAGGCTAAGAACCAGCAATTGCTTTTATAGACAAGGATTGCAATGATAGAGCAAAAGGGAACTGCCATTTTGTAATAGGGGAAGGTCTTGGTTTATCATTACATCAAGTGCAACACTTGGCATACATGAACATGATAAAATGGAAGTGGAATCTATACATGTGACACAACTGAAAGGAAAACAAATTGGAGCTCAATATAGACTGCTGCATTCAAAGCAAAGCATATCAATCTACCTTAAAGCAGGATAAGGAAAGTATATACAGATGCAACAGGAGCGAGGTCTTTCTTGTTCTTGGCTTACAAGACTGGTGCTGGAAAGCTACTGGGTTTAGAATCTACTGTCAAAGCAAGGCCTTATGGGAAAACAGGCTAGCCAACACAACTATATATACAACACTATTCTAGTTATTTTAGAATTATTATAAGCATAGACACAACTGACTTTGCACTCCATGGCAGCGGTAGCAAAAGGTAGCCATTTTCTCCAGCAACAACCACCGAGCTCAAAGGTTTGTCACTGGAAATAGCTAAGAATTAGCACTCTAGGCTCATTAATATGCTAAAACCTTTCAATTTACACGGATGCAAGTCATGCTGGATTCGTTGGCAACCTCTAAATTCAATAAAGGACACTAACCTGGACTGCTCTTCCTTTCTGATTCCATAGTAATACCTCAGGGCATGCAGCAACACAGTGTAGGCTTTTAGGATTGAATAGAGACAGCAGGGTAGCTAAGAAGAGAAAATAGTCCAGCAAAGCTTAGCAGAGGTCTTTAAAAAGCAGCAGAGGCATCTCTCAAGGCAGTAATTATATGCATTATGCAAAAACTGTTGCAACTGGATAGCCTTGTTGTTTTGTAATGACGCATGGGTGGGGCTCATTATTATGCAGAACTGGTTACGCCCATCGCCCATCTCTCAAGATCCAGTTCTGCAGCAGCAATGGTTGAATGGCAGTACTTCGCTATCCCGGCTCTCTGTGTGGTTGTGATCCTCCTTTTCTTGGTTTTACTGGTAGCAATGCTCCTCTGCCTAAGAAAAAGGGAGATGCTGTGCTTCAAGAGCCGGAGACGAAAAAGGACAAGAGGGGGCGACGAGGAAACTCGTTTTACAAACATTTATTCTAAAGAGGAGGAAAGGAGACCCATGGGCCTCAAGAGGAGACGCCAGCATTTTGCAGACCCGTTTGCAAACCGTTTCTCAGACCCATTCTTCATGGACCAAGGACTAGAGAACTTTGACATCTCGCAGTGGGACAATCCTTTGTTTGATGCTAAAGGTGCCAGGGAGAGGGAGGCAGCAATCACAATACAGACATGGTGGAGAATGGTCAGGTAAGTGACTAGCCGAGACACAGGAGCACATGCAAAGATACAAAAAACTTTCATTTTCATAGAGCAAGAATATATTTCTTGGAAATGAGAGAAATTGCAATCATTTTTCAAGTGAGCTAAAACTATGTGATGATCATGCACGTTATAAATTTTTATGAAATTACAGAAATGCTGGAGAGGAAAGCAAGAGAGAAAGAATCTTCCGTATTACAAAAAGGAAAAGAACGAGAGAGAGGTAATAAATAATAGCAATACACCTTTTATTCATTATTATTACAGCAAAGACGAAAGAAGGAGCCTGGCTACATCAAAAACAAGGGGACTCTATCAGGTTAGGAAATAACAATTATTCAAAAAAGTGCACAAATTACCGAGACTATCTACAGCTCTCAAGTTCTATGATGTTAAAGGCTATGGGTTCTGTGAGGTCCAGCAGTTGTACGGACAAGAGACCATGCACAAAGCAGCCGAGCAGCTAAGGAGTCTTTATGGAGGAAAAGGGCAGAGACGATTTAAACTTTTCATATCCGTCAAAGCTGTTGTGCTATATGACCACAGCACTTGGGTAAGCAAGTACAGTATATCACAAAATGATGATGCAGCTTTGCTCTCTCTATCAGGATCACTTTGCCACTGTCAAGATGTCAACCATTTCTTTCTGTTCCCTTGACTTCAAGAACAAGAAGCTCTTTGCTTTCATTAACATGAAGAAGAAACGGAAATTCTGTCACGTATTCCAATGCCATGAAGGAGATGTGAGTAATGAAGACATGTACATGTACATTTACTATGGAGGATTAATAAATTTGGGAGAAAGGTGGAATGAGCTCTTTCCTGTGTATACAGTACATGTGCATGTACATGTAGATAAAAAATACCAAAATTCTCTAACTTTCCCAAAATATACATTCCAAACAATAAAAATATCATACCATGAAATACAGGACAGGACAATAGCTAGAATACATGTATTAATTTATGATTGATATGTGGTACCACTATAGGCACAAAAACTTGTAGAGACAATGGGTGAAGCGTTTGAAGTTACTTTCAAGCAAGAGAAACAAAAGAAAGAGGTACAAAAATACCCCAAAGGGCATCACAATAAATCAATAATTTATCCACACAACAGGAGGAAAGACTGAAAGAAAAACAAAGACAAGACTTTGTAAGCAAAGCACCTTCTCATATGCACCAATGAACAAGTTTATTAATATTATCGCTGTTGTTATTATTCATTTTATTTTAATAGCGTCGAAGTGCACTTGATTTAGATAAAGAGGTCGACCAGATGATGAAACTAGCCGAGTCAGCGTCCATAGCAGCAACCCCTAGTCTCACACACAGAGGAATAGGAGTGGAAGGAGGAGGGATGATACTAGGAGGAGACTCAAGTCCCAATACAAAATCCTACCATTCTCTGGATCATGCATACCAGTATGATCAGTACCAGTACGATCAGGTGGGTCAGGCTTTATAAAGGAAAAGAAAGTCTATATTTTTATAATTATCAATAATTATTAGAGGTATCACGGGATGATGACGCCAAGAGGACGATCAAAGTCAAGCACTGACTCTCCGTTACTCGTCTCTCAAAGGATCCCTCACTACTTTGAACAGCAAAGACACTTTGTGAGCCACTTCCTCATTATTTTTAATAGCTGCTTGTTAATAATTACATGTACATTATATATTGCACGCAATTATTTTATTTCGAAGAATTAATTTTTTTGTTTTATTAAACTCAGAGCTCATTGGACAGAGGTTTGGACGATATTGAGAGGCAACATGAAATGGAAGTTCTTCAAGTAAGTACATGTACTTCTGTGTACAATAATCATTATCACGCACATGTACATGTACAAGTACCCATAAAAACATACTTAGTATTTTGTCTTTTCTTGATTTTAATTGTAGCTCAGAAATTAATGGACTATACAAATTAATAATTAGTAGTATACATGTACATGTACATTTCTTACAGAGTAATAGGCATATTGATCTTCTCGTTACCATTTCAGGGACGACAAAGAGCAAGAACTTTGATATAAGACATCACTTCCACACTGCCCTATTAGATTATAATGCAAAGATTATTATTATTATTTAATATTATTATTATTATATTATAATATACATGTACAACACATGCATGCATCAAGCAATTATAAATAATCTTCATATTTAATTAATATCAAACAAAGCAGCAAAAAGTTTACTTTGTTCTCTTTTCATGATGATACCTTGGAACACGTCTTGTCACGCGAATGATGGGATACTCTTTCACTTTATCGTTGCTATGACAATTAAAATACCATAGCAACGACCACTGAATAAACATTACCTGTAGAGGTGGTGGTGATCATGGTCCTCTATCGAGTATTCTCCACTCCTCATCTGATCAAGCATTATTCCACAGTATTCTCAAAGGCCACCGTGTTCCAGATCATAACATACGCTCTCGTTATCCTAGCTCCATTCTTTATTGCCTATTCAACTAGAGGTACGATTGAATTATTCTAATTAAAGCACACCATCCCCTGTGCAGATTTTTGGCAGTACACAAGTAGCTATAGAGAGCAGGCTGATATTCATTTTATTGGTCAGTGGATATTTCAAGTGACTACAGACGCTAGCCCTATAGCAAAGACATGGAGCAGTTACAATGGCCTGAATCGTTTACTCCAGGACGACACATTGTCACCTTTAAACTCTGAAATATCAATACCAATAGTGAAAGTAATTTATGTATACTGAAATAAATTTGTATATAATCGATGGCTAGAGGGTAGTGAATTATTTTATTTTGTACTCCTAATAGTTCAGAGAACAGGATTATAATTATGATCGTATTAATGATCAGTTGCTATTGACAATAGAATATAACGAACTGGAGTATAATATAACCGGAATACAAGGGCTTCTCTTTTTTGAAGTATCACTAAATGTAAGCTCTTGTGTAATTTAATATATCTTAAATTAATGTGCTCACTGATTTCTAATGGGATTCGACTTTAAATGTATCCCCAATTTTTGTAATAAATATTAATGCCTTTAAAAAAGCTGATTAATATTATGGGTGCATGAGTTACCCTTAAAACATGTTAAACAGCAAATTTTTATAAGCTATGGGGAATCTTGTTTGAACATACATACACAGTACATGTATGACAAAATAAGTCAATTATTCTATAATTCTCCTTTATCATAGTCACATGCATCAGTGACACTACAAGGTCTCATTCATTTCAGTAACAGTTGGTCATTGCCAGCATCACATTACTGGCTGCTAGGTGACACACTGATATACCAGAGAGACCCACTTCCAGCCACTGGGAGACTCACCACACACAACACTACCATATACAATGACACCAGTAGACTCACTCAAGATAATGAGATAATTGGAATATTAAAGAATTATCAGCAACGGAATTGTAAGCAAGGCAGCATAAAAATACACTATTGCTATTCTTTCTCTCTATCTTTCCTTAGTATCAATATCATTGGCTAATAGAATGGATTATTGGGAGTATGGTACAGGGTCCAACTTCACAGCTCACATCTCTCTTACTTTCCCTGTACAAACACTGATCTACATCCCAGGACTCTGGCAAGTATTAAAGTTTGCTTGGATACAGTATCTTGCAATACTCGTCATCTTTTATGCTGTGCTGAGTTGTGTACAGTCCTTTGTGTTCCAGAACCAAATAATACTGACAGTACAGGCCAGAACTGATAAAAAACCTCACCAACGATGATGTTTTCATTTTTTTGTTATAAAATACTTTTGCAACTATTGGCTTGTGAAATGCATGGGCAACTCAATTACTCAAAAGTTTCTATCATCTCAAACTTACTTATTATCATACAATGTATACATCTAAATGAAAAATAGCTATGATATATTATCGATTATCCTCCAGTATGATAGTTTGTGGTGGATATCCAGCCAATTCGACAAACATGAATCTCAATGCATACTTCCCAGCTTCATTCTAGAGGCAAAAATTAATTAAAAGTCAATGCAAATCCTTTGCTTACTTTCTTTAGTTCTAAGACTGTCTCTCCTTTCCTCTTGCTCCCTGACACGTGGAACTTCATTCTCATATAAGTAACGCCGTCTACCTCATACTCTAAGTAACTGGAAAATTTTTTTGGGCCACGGAAAATAATCATCAAAATAATGTACTGTCTAGTCTATGTACTTTAATTGTTTTCTCCTTCCTCTCCCTGACTCTTCGCCATGGCCAGTAATAGGCTCACCCAATGCAGCCTTTACCTACATGTACATGTACATATACATGCATGCCTTCATTTTTCTACTTACACTCTCGTCAGCTTTGACTCTTTTGAGTGCTTTTGAGAATATTGACGAAGGACTAGCAGAACTGAAGAACTCACTGCCGACAGAATAGAACAGGAAACCCATTAGACCAAATCCAGCGAAAATGGCTATAAGGTAAGTAAAATCCTTCCCAGCCCGTACAACTGAAAAAAAGAGCGACTAAAATTATTCTAAAATCATTTTATTTTACCTTTAGCTCCAACAGTCAGCTCCTTTGGTTCTTCTTTGGATAATACTTCCATTAGAACAGACCCACTGCTGGTCTGCTGCTCCTTGTCACCTGATTTCTTCACCTCTGTAGAATAGTCTCTCCTAATATGAGGTGACAGTACTGCTCCGGGAGCTGCTAATAATGATTTAAGACTCCCAGGAGATCTCTCTACTAATATTCTAGCATATATCCAATTACCACTGCAGCTACTGCCACTGGTCAGCAAAGAATTAAGCCTAAAGTGCTTTATAAAGACAGCCATATTAGTTGAGGGACATTAATTGGAATACAAAACTTAGCCCCGCCTAACCACGTGGAAGCACGTGGGCATCAATCAAGCCACACCTATTGTTGCCAAGCAACGGATCTTTAAATGGCGGAAAAATCGAGGGAAAAACCTATTGAAATGGATGATGATAATTTCTTTATGTCACTTGCTTTTTTGACCTCAGACAGAAGTAAAGACCCCGTGACTCAAGTAAGAAAAAATAAAGAAATTTTAACCAGTATTTGTTATGCTATTATAGATCTACATTAATATAAACTCATTCTTTATTGCTCCTTGTTAATTAACAATAGGTTGGTGCTTGTGTAGTTAAAGATGGTATATTGATATCGACTGGTTATAATGGGATGCCGTGGGGCTGCAGTGATGACATATTACCATGGGACGGGACAGCAAAGAATGAAGAAGAGAACAAAAGACCATACGGTAATTGATTATAGAAATTGATAAATAAAAATAATATTCAGTTGGTAAATTTGAGCTGAGAATCAGCTCAAACTCTCTACACAGCATAAAGACATCAATATGTATCAGAATATGTAATAAAAATTTGGGTAATTTTGGAGCCATTTTTTGGAAAAACCTGTGGGCTATATAACCTTGGGTATTTTTTTTAAATTGACTAATTTCTTAAATTGGACATAACTTGAAAATTTCTTATTGGAATTGACTCAAACTTTCTACACAGCATAAGGACATCAATATGTATCAGAAAGTGTAATAAAAATTGGGGGTGATTTCGGAGCCATTTTTTGGAAAAAACCATGGGCTATAGTACAGGGAAATTTTCAGAAATTGGCCCATTTTTTAAAATGGCCATAACTCTGAAAATTTTAGTTAGAATCAGCTGAAACTTTTTATATAGCATAAGGGCATCAATATGCATCAGAAAATGTAATAAAAGTAGAGGTTGATTTTGGAGCCATTTTTTGGAAAAAACCATGGGCTATAGTACAGGGTATTTTTCAGATTTTGGCAATTTTTAGTAGATGGCCATAAGTCAAAAATTTGAGCTCGGAATCAACTCAAATTTTCTACATGGCATAAGGACATAAATGTGTATCAGAAAATATACAACTTGTATTGATTAATTTGGATTTGTAATTTTTTGGCTCACATAAAGTGACTCTATCCTGTGTCTATCATTTATAGTTTGCCATGCAGAATTCAATGCATTTGTTAACAGAGGAGACAAAGATCTATCAGGCTGTACGCTATATACTGGGCTCTTCCCTTGCAAGGATTGTGCTAAGCTGATAGTACAGACTGGGATAACTACAGTCGTGTACATGAGCGACAAACACAAAGAGAAAAAAAAGTATATTATTGCTAGGGATATACTGGAAAAAGCAAATGTTGAAGTGAGGTAAGCATTGAATTACTTACAGTACTACATGTACATGTATTATTTTACTTTATTTGAGTTGCAATAATAATCATCCAATTAAGATTCTAAAAAGATTATTTGTTTTTCTATTTCTCTCCAGAGAATTTGTACCCACTTATTCGAAGCTGACTCTAAAATCAAGTGCCACTCAAAATCCTTTCACTGCGTCGCAAAAATAGTTACACTGGTATTTTTATAGATAGTGTGAATTATATTATGATAACCATCATTATTTTTAAATTCATAGTTTATAATTATTATATTTATTATTATAATTATTTTGACTCTGCTTGTATTCAAAAAGACGAAAAATTTAATATCAAAAATAGCAATTGTGTATAAACTAAGTTAAACTGTACACACATGACATGTATGAGGAAGAATCCGTTTCTTCAAAAGTGAATCAAGGCAGCGAAAGTTCAATCAAAAACATTATACTTCTCCCTTTTCATGATGCGATCGCTATCAATCCACTCATTACCACCAAGTTCTTGACTTGTTGAGTGAGTCCTTTTCCTACAGCAACAGAGGAGGAGGATCTGCATAGCCAGTGATGCAAAGAGTGCAAAAAAGCACACTAACACAGCACCCTAAAAACAAGCCAGGCAATGGTAACTGAAATCAGTATTCTCTTTTTTTAATATCAATGATGGATCTATACCTGTGACATACGAATGTAACCGTCATCATTATCTTTGGGGAAATATTCAGCACATCTAAAAAATATTAACAAATAATGATAATAATTGAATGATCATGGACTTGTTATTAAGGCCACTATACACCAGGCAATGTGTGGTTACTTTGATGTTGTAAGCAATGTGTTGCCTAGAATAGAGAACATATTTCTATTCTAGGCAACAGTGTTGCCTGAAGATCAAAGTAACCACAGATTGCCTGCAATAGCATTGCCTGGTGTATAGGGGCCTTTAGACTTATAATAGCTAACCTTTTGTCTGTGTTCCTACATGTATCATAGTATCCACTCAACAAATTTATAGCTAGTAACAGTCCAAGGATTAGAGCTAGAATCTGTAGCAACAAAGTGCATATTGCAGAGCAGGTGTTCCTGTAAGAAGTAATAAAATCATTCATGTACCAGTACATGTACATAATCAATATATCATGGATTTAATGGGTATCATGATTTTATATAGTCGATCTAAAACACTATCAAGACTCACCATATTCCACACGTTAGTTGGAATAACGATATAGCCAGGAGTAAAAGACAGAGCAAAGCCAGGATCACATCGCCTCCAATGTTCAAAATGCAGTATACATTATCACCAACATTTAACGCGTTCCTCCCTTTATTGTATTTACTGTATAGTATACAAGGCCTGTTTTTACTCTCTGATTCATTCCATTTACTAACATGATACTGGACCATACCAAAATAGCCAACAGAACCAAGTGCCATTGCCAGAGCCACTAAATACAAGAGACAGAAAAAGAAACTGCAAAAAGTCACAGTCCAGTTTCTTTCCCTCCTCCTCCTCTCCCCGCCATCAAGGAGCCAGTCATCCTCATCAGCTCTACTTTTACGCATCGCAGGTATTTGGAGAGCGAGTTGGAGAAGTGAGAACAGATAAACTGCGTTTTAGCTGAGGTGACAATTTGTTGAGAAACCACTCCCACCTTTTGGCCTTAATCCACACCCTCTAATAATTCTTATTAATCTTTTTAATTTCCACCTCGATTTCCACACAAAATAATTATAGCTGTTTTATCCTTTCATGTATGAAAAGTAACAGTTAGTCAAATTGTTTGCTGTTTCATCTATTCATGGATTGCCTCGACCTTGTCTAGATTGCATTCTGGTAAAAGATAAATGCATACAATGTTTGATTAAATTCAGATCTGCTGCTATTTGAGCAGCTTATTTTACAGTACTCTACATGTATTATTTTTACTTTATTTGAGTAATAATCATCCAATTAAGATACTAAAGAGATTATTTGTTTTCATATTTCTCTACAGAGAATTTGTACCCACTTATTTGAAGCTGACTCTAATATCAAGTGACATTCAAAATACTTTCCCTGCTTTGCAAAAATAGTTACACTGGTATTTTTAGATAGTGTGAATTATATTATGATAACCACCATTATTTTTAAATTTTATATTATATTTATTATTATAATTATTTTGACTCTGCTTATAGTCAAAAAGACAAAAATTTTATACAAAAATAGCAATTGTGTATAAACTAAGTTAAATTGTACACATTATGACATGTATGAGGAAGAATCCGTTTCTTCAAAAGTGAATCAAGGTAGCAAAAGTTCAATCAAAAACAGCATATTCGTTCCTTTTCATGATGCGATCGTTATCAATCCAGTTATTATCGTCAAGCTTTTGACTTGTTGAGCGAGTCCTTTTCCTACAGCAACAGAGGAGGAGGATCTGCGTAACCAGTGATGCAAAGAGTGAACAGAAGCACACTGACAGAGCACCCTAAAAACAGGCACAGGCAATGGTAACTGAAATCTGTATTCTCTTTTTTAATAGCAATGATGGATCTATACCTGTGAAATATGAATGTAGTTGTCATCATTATGTTTGGGAAATAATTTAGCACATGGTCTAAAAAAATTTAACAAAATAATGATGATAATTGAATGATCATGGATTTGTTATAATAGCTACTTTGTTTTTGTACTGCTACATGTTATTACGTATCCACTCAACAGAACTATAGCTAGTACCAGTCCAAGGATCAGAGCTAGAATCTGTAGCAACAAAGTGCATATTGCACAGCAGGTACTCCTGTAAGAAGTAATTATTAATCATTCATGTACTGGTACATGTACATGTTCAATATCATGGATTTCATGATTTTATATTGTCATTGTCAATCCAACTCACCATCTTCCACGCACTATTTGGAATAGTGATATAACCAGGAGTACAAGACAAAGGAAAGCCAGTATCACATCACCCCCAATATTCAAATTGCAGGATATGTTATCTGAGCCATTTAATGCATTGATCTTTTCATTGTATGCACTGTATAGTATACAACTTTTTTTACTATTTTTACTAACATGATGCTGGACCACACCAAAAAAGACAACAGAACCAAGTGCCATTACCAGAGCCACTAAATACAATAGACAGAAAAAGAAACTGCAAAAAGTCACAGTCCAGTTTCTTTCCTTCCTCCTCCTCCCCTCGCCATCAAGGAGCCAGTCATCCTCATCAGCTCTACTTCTACACATTGCATGTGTATTTGGAGAGGTGAGAACAGATAAATGTGTTGACTGTGGCTGAGGCGATAATTTCTTGAAACCACACCTACCTATTGAAAGCCACACCCTCATAAATTTTTAATTAGTTTATTTAATTTTCACACAAAATAAAGCTGTTTTAGTCTTTCATGCATAAAAACTACCAGTTAGTCAAATTGTTTGGGCCTTTCTCGTCCCATAAGGACTGTTTCATCTATCCATGGATAGCCTCGATCACTTTTTGGTAGACCTTGTCTTTGATTCTGTTTCCTAGTACTAAGATGGCATAGCATCATTAAGAGCTCCAGAACAATTGCTATACAGAGAGAAGCATAAGCCACTAATAGAGCACCCTGCAATAGTAGATAATAATAATAAATAATGCATTCAAATAGAAATTGTATGTTGTCACAAGATTATTGCATAAATTTAATTGTTAGTTCATACTTATTACTTACCCCTGATAACAAAAGCAAATCCATCTCATTACACCTATTAATTGTAATACACATATGCACTGGAATAATAATAGTTATGGCTTACGGATTATGAGTATCATCCGGATTAGATCTACTGCAGAGACTGATATGTCCAAGTAAAAGATTGTATCCAAGGGCTATGCCCATTAACAATGCAGCTAACAGCATGATCATATTAAATGTTACAAAACAACAATTCCTATGGGGACAAAGTTATGATTGTATATCAGTTATTTTTTACAGGTCACATGAGACTACTATAAAAATTACTGTAAAAACTTTCAAAGCTCTAGTAGCCCACAAACAACAAAATGGGTGGAAAATGCACCTGCTATGCTTGTTTGCTATGCTTGTTTCATGTCTTGCTTTGTTTATTATACTAGATCTAGCTTGCATCAGTGCAGCATGATAGCAACGTACAATAGCAATAACTTACCATTTGCCATACCAAGCTTGAAATATTGAAATTACAAGGAGTGCGAGGCATATGAAACCCATTAAAGCTTCACCAGCATAATTTAAGTAGCAGAAGGCATTTTTTCCAAATTTATATTGCTTTTCATCATCCTCATCATAGCTACTGTGTAGAATGCAGTTGGAATCACTGTCACTGTCAGTTTTATTTGACTCAGTGAAATTGCTTTTTGACCTTATCCAGCTCCTGACATTGCCATCAGTTACAGTAAAGAAACCAATTGAAACAAGAATCATGACCAGAGCCAACGCATACAAGAGAAACAGAAAGAGACTGAATGAAGTCACTATTATACTTCTGCTCTTTTCATTCCTCTGCCTCCTATTAGGGCTATCCAGCAGCAAGTCACTTTCAAATCCTTTACGCATCTTGAAATTTGTTATTATTTGTAGCAGAGCTTTTCAATCAAGCAGGTGTTTAAACAAGAAGAAACAACCACTGAGCCTGTGAGCCACACCCAATTTGCAGAAGCAGCAAGCCACTCTCACAGAGAGAAGTGTAAGCCACTAATAGAGCACCCTGTAATAGTAGACAATAATGAATAATGCATTCAAATAGAGATTGCATTCTGGTAAAAAATAAATGCATACAATGTTTGATTAAATTCAGATCTGCTGCTATTTGAGCAGCTTACTTACAGTACTGCATGTACATGTATTATTTTTACTTTATTTGAGTAATAATCATCCAATTAGATACTAAAGAGATTATTTGTTTTCATATTTCTCTACAGACAATTTGTACCCGCTTATTTGAAGCTGACTCTAAAATCAAGTGACATTCAAAATCCTTTCCCTGCTTTGCAAAAATAGTTACACTGGTATTTTTAGATAGTGTGAATTATATTATGATAAACACCATTATTATATTTATTATTATTATTATTTTGACTCTGTTTATAGTCAAAAAGACGAAAGTTTTATACCAAAAATAGCAATTGTGTATAAACTAAGTTAAATTGTACACATTATGACATGTATGAGGAAGAATCTGTTTCTTCAAAAAAGAATCAAGGCAGCAAAAGTTCAATCAAAATCAGCATACTTCTTCCTTTTCATGATGCGATCATTATCAATCCAGTTATTATCGTCTAGTTCTTGACTTGTTGAGCGAGTCCTTTTCCTACAGCAACACAGGAGGAGTGTCTGCATAGCCAGTGATGCAAAGAGTGCACAGAAGCACACTGACAGAGCACCCTAAAAACAGGCCAGGTAATGGTAACTGAAATCTGTATTCTCTTTTTTAATATCAATGATGGATTTATACCTGTGACATATAAATGTAACTGCCATCATTATCTTTGGGAACACATGATCTACAAAATAATGATGATAATTGAATGATCATGGATTTGTTATAATAGCTACTTTTTGCCTGTGCTACATGCTATTAAGTATGCAAGCAGAACTATAGCTAGTAACAGTCCAAAAATCAGTACCAGAAACTGTAGCAACAAAGTGCAGGTACTCCTGTAAGAAGTAATAATAAATCATTAATGTACATGTACCGTATAATTAATAGATTTATCATGGATTTAATGGGTGTCCTGATTTTATATTGTCGTTGTCAATCCAACCCACCATACTCCATGCATTATTTGGAATAGTGATATAACCAAAAGTACAAGACAAAGCAAAGCCAGGATCACATCACCTCCAATGTTCAAAATGCAGTATATATCATTACCACATTTACGCTGGACTGCACCAAAACAACTAACAGAAACAAGTACCCCTGCCAGAGCCACTAAATACAATAGACAGAAAAAGAAACTGCAAAAAGTCACAGTCCAGTTTCTTTCCTTCCTCCTCCTCCCCCTGCCATCAAGGAGCCAGTCATGAGTCATCCTCATCAGCTCTACTTCTACACATTGCATGTGTGAGAACAGATAAACGATTAAACGTGTTTGTGGCTGAGGTGATAATTTCTTGAAACCACACCCACCTATTGAAAGCCACACCCTCATAAATTTTTATTTAGTTTATTTAATTTTCACACAAAATAAAGCTGTTTTAGTCTTTCATGCATGAAAACTATCAGTTAGTCAAATTGTTTGGGTCTTTCTCGTCCCAGGGCTGTTTCATCTATCCATGGATTGCCTCGATCACTTCTTGGTAGACCTTGTCTTTGATTCTGTTTCCTAGTACTAAGATGGCATAGCATCATTAAGAGCTCCAGAACAATTGCTACACAGAGACAAGTGTAAGCCACTAATAGAGCACCCTGCAATAATAAAATAATATTTGCATTCAAATAAAAATTGCATTCTGGTAGAAGGTAAATGCATAAAATTACGTTGTTAGTCCACACTTACCCCTGATAACCAAAGCAACTGTATGTCATTACACCTATCAATTGTTGTAATGCATCGAAGGATTACAATAATAGCAGTTACTTACAGATCATTTTGTTTAGATTCATTGCATATCGGATCGATAAGTCCAATTAAAAAATTGTATCCAAGAAATACACCCGTTAACAATGCAACTAACAGGACTGTCATATTAAATGTTACAAAACAACAGCTCCTATGAGGACAAATAGATTCATCATAGCATTATCAGTTATTTTTTACAGGTCACATGAGACTACTATGAAAATCACTGTAAAAACTTTCAGAGAAGTGGCCCACAAACAGAATAGTTTTACAAAATGGGTGGGTAAATGCACCTGCTATACGCTTGTTTGGTATCTTGCTTAAATAGACTCTATAATACTATATAGCTTGCATGTATTGAGCATTAACACTAGATTCTAGCAATGACTTACCATCTGCCATACCAAGCTTGAAATATTGAAATTATAAGAAGTACGAGGCATATGAAAGCTATGAAAGCTTCACCAGCATAATTCAAGTAGCAGAATATATCTTTGCCAAATTTATATCGCTCTTCATCACCATCATCATCAGAGCTACTGTGTAGAATGCAGTTGGAGTCACTGTCATTTTCATCTAACTCAGATTGGCTGCTATTTAACCTTATCCAGCTCCTGACCTTGTCATCAGTTACAGTAAAGAAACCAATTGAAACAAGAATCATGACCAGAGCCAACGCATACAAGAGAAACAGAAAGAGACTGAATGAAGTCACTATTATACTTCTGCTTCTCTCCCTCCTCTGCCTCCTATCAGGGCTATCCAGCAGCAAGTCACTTTCAAATCCTTTACGCATCTTGAAATGTTTTATTTGTAGCAGAGCTTTTCAATCAAGCAGGTGTTTTAACAAGAAGAAACAACCACTGAGCCACACCCAATATTATTTGCAGATCAGAGAAGCAGCAAGCCACTCCTTCTTTATAACTTGCATGCATCATTAATGTTTTGCTAAAAATAGAAGTTCGGTCTATTTTTAGTAACACATCTTCTCCAAATATAAAGGTTGTTGGTAGCATGTCTTCGTCGATACACATCCTCATTCTCTTTCTATATGGAAAGGACTGCAATCTACAGGGACAATGTTAGTGGAAAGATGTTCAGTTGTGAAGAAGGCTACACTTTCTCGTCTCCTTTACTCAGAAAAAGATCCCTCCTAAACACAAGGCCTAGCTCATACCTTGCTGCCATAAACAACTCTGTTCTCACTACAGACTCGCCTAAACTCTCTCCGTCTTCTGTATCTCCGTGTTTCACACTCCCCAGAGAAATCTGGCTCCTTATATTGGTCAATTATGGTCTCTCGGGGAAGGATCTGGCCAATTTAGAGCTATCTTGTAAATGGTTTACTGAATGCTGGGAAGGTAATCCATGCTATGCAGTAGATCTACATTCATTTATGTACATTCACTTATTATTAGAATGTTCTCTTATTGAGGAAGCAGCTCGTTTGATTATAAAACGTTACAAGAGGGCAAGGTTTGGGGAACTCACCAACAGACGTGAGTTTTAACACATAAAAGAATGATTTAAAGATTAATTTTAATAATTACCGTACAAGTGGGGTTTTTAGGGTTGCAAATTTGGCGAATTTTGCGGATTCCCTCCTGATTCGCGAAAATAAAATCCGCGAAAATCAATTTAATACAGTACCCGCATGGCACACATGGTAGAATTTGCGAAATTAAAATCCACAAATTGGAATTTTAGCAGATTTCACGAAATATAATTCCCTCAAAAAAACACTTATACGGTATTAGACAAAATAATAATTAATTCTATTTTAGTATGTGCCATGTCATGCAAGGAGAGGCTCCACATTTTAAACAAGATGGAAAAAGGCTCCTGTGTTTTGGCGGCAGGCTCATATCAAAACATTGCCCTGGTGGATAACAATAGGTAAACAACAAATCAATAACAACAACAAATGTTTACTTGTTGCTATAATTGCTGGACTAGCCGTGTTATTAGCTGGGGTGCTGGAATATTCGGACAGTTGGGTAATGGAGTCAGTGGGGATCAACCAGCTCTTCAGAATGTGCAAGTGCCGTCAAACGTAGTACAAGTGAGTGAGTGATGGTGTGAGTAATGATTTGGTTATTGTTGTAGGTATCTGCTGGGTGTGGTCACTCTGGAGTAGTCACTGAGACTGGCGAAGTCTTTGTCTGTGGTGATAACAGATATGGACAACTAGGTGAGTTGGAATTGATACTTAGTTATTGATTCTGGTCATTTTATAAAATTAAGCTGGCTGCTAAATTTTCATTTGACTCAACAGTGTATTTCACTTGTTTATTGTTTTATGATATTCCCAATAGTCTGAGCGTGATTGATATCTGATTCCTATCATTATCATCATCACTATTATATATTTTTATGACTGTAGGTTTGCCTAATACAGGTCATGGCCAGCATTTTCTCACTCCATTCAAAGTCGGTTTCTCTAGCAGTATACACGTCCTCCAGATTGCTTGTGGCAGCTCTCATACAATGTTTCTCAGTGATATGGTAAGGAATCTTAATTCCTGTTTATACATCATTTACATGTACAGTATACAACCAAAAATAATTTCTTAACATCCATTATATGCATGTATATGTAATGAACTTCCTGTAATCAACGAATTACAACGAAAATATTAATGCTACATTTTAATTACAAATTTATGATTTTTTAATAACACTTATAGGGCAAAGTATATTCAGTTGGTCAGGGTGATTCCGGTCAGTTAGGACTCGGCCCTCACATCAAAGCAACAGTGGTACCGACCTGTCTACCACTCCAATACGACGAATTCAATTTTACACTAATAGTCACTGGTATAGCACACAATGGTAAGCTAATGAGTGAAAATTATCAACATTTATAACTGTCATTATCGTTATGCTTGTAGTTCTAATAACTGAGTGTGGGAAAGCTTTTACCTGTGGACTTGGATCAGTTGGACAGTTGGGACATGGAGGGACGAAGAACCTCAGTACAGTAAGCATGCCCTCAATGCAAGTACGTGTATGATTGTAACTTTTAACTCGAATAGCCAGCTCAAGTGACTGCTTTTGTTCGTGACAGGATCATAGTGAATGCAGCTGCTAGTGTCTGCCATACTATCCTCCTTGATTCAAAAGGTATGTAAGTTTATGGATTTTTATAAAGTTATTCAAAAATTGGGCTAAAAACCCTGTACTATAGTACAGGGAATGTAGTCTAATTTCGCCAAAAGTGACTAGGAGAGAATCCTCCATTTTGATAATTTTTTCTGATACATGTACATGTCCTTATGTTGTGAATTAATTGTGAGCTGATTATAATCAAATTTGGATTTTTATGAATATTTAAAGTTGCTCAAAAAGCCTTGTACTAGTATTAAATATTATAGTGCTTGTCAGCTCATGAAGCTCATGCTGTTTAACTCACTTAGCATGCTTTGTGGGAAACCCTGCTGTCGTGATTAATAATAAATTATAATAATTCTTTAGGTGATGTTTTTACTTGTGGCAAAGGAGAAGGGACACTAGGTCACGGAGACACTGTCATAAGAACAATACCAAAAAGACTTGAGGGCCTTGAAGTAAGTTTACACTATTCTTTGTCATTCTTATATAATTTTTAATTAAAAGGGTATACCCATATCTTCAGCTGCTGCTGGCGTGTGTAGGAGTGTCTTTATATCGAGAGATGGCAGAGGCTACTGGTGTGGAGTGGGAATGGGCAGTAATAAGAATGTAAGTCATTACATTATTATAGTGACAATGATGCATTATTTTATTATTATGTCACATTATTTTTAGGTTGTTCAAACAATTCCAATTGAAATGGCTGGATTACCCGAGCCACTCGCTGCAGCTGCTATTGGTAACTCTCACATTGTATTAAGGACGAGGTAACTTAACTAATTTTGGATTGCGAGGATAAATTTTTAAATTTTTACTAGGTCTGGGAGGTTCATGAGTATGGGCAACAATGGCCGCCATCAAACTGGTCATGTGACACCAAACAATTCTCCAGTTTTAGAATACACTTATATTAACAACCAGTAGTCAATGTTTCTCAATTTTATAATCCCTAACCTGATCTTGTGTCCGTACAATGTAATGTATACATGTGTATCAACAGTTGTACTACTACTACATGTATCTGTGTTTCAGTGTATAGTTACTTGTATTATAATATAGTGTTTTTAAATCACATTTAAAAATGGTTACAGTCTACCAAGTTGAAATGTATATTACACATAATAATATGATTTATTTCTTTTTATTTTTTGCGTATTCCAGATCTGGTTTAGCTCTTCCAGTTGCTATTCTGTACTTTTCCTCGTCTGTCTTTACTTTTCGTGTCTTTTTCCTCAGCTCTGCCATTTTATTGCGATACTCTGCAATTATTTCAGGCATACGCTTCATATTCTCTGCAATTCTATCTTCTCTATATAAGCAATAATGGGACATATAATAAAGTATAACCTCCAATAACAAAACTTCTATCATTTGATGCATTGAAAATTTTAATGCATCAAACTACCAGCTTAGGGAATATCCATTTCAAAACTTAATGAAAACTTTCATGTATGAAATAAATAAATTTGGTGCCCTAAAAGTTTCGCTATTTGGAGGTTCCCCTGTACATGCACATCATAATTAAATACCTGCTCTCCTTATTTCTTTCCCATTTTGATAGTTTAAAAGGTCGATCGTTCCCTCTGTCCCTCAATGGTTTGGATGGAACCTCTTCTCCCATAGCTATCAGAGACTTCCTAGCTTCTGCCAAATCTCTAGCACTGACCACAGGCTTCCTCCATCTGCCATTTATGTACTTTGGCTTCCTCAAGTCCAGTAATTTTTCAAAAGTCTTAGAGATTGGTTTCGCCATGTTTTCTCACGTGCGCGGCCTCACCACGCCCTCGGCCTTGAGGTGGGTGTGGCGTTACAAAAACAAACCGCGCCTCTTTTTGAAAATTATAACATGGCGGCAACCACCTCGACCTCGCCACATGGCCACGCTACAAATCCTACCCACGGCCTCCATCGTGCTCCATGGGAGTCTAAAAGGCACTGGCTTTGCAGGAGAAAGTTTGTAGAAGACCACAAGGATGTCCACGGGCTAAAGAAGGCCATCGGACTCTCCATGGTCTGGGCCAACATCAATTTTTTGGGGTGTCAGTATTCCTCAAAAGTACAGAGTGAGGTAGAGTATTATCCTGTTCCCGAAGAGAATGAGATTGAGAGGTGGCTGAAGGTTCATCCTGACATTCTTGATGATGAAGAAGACGCTAGAAAGGGAAGACAATGGCCACCAACTGGTAAAAGACCGACATCCTCAAATTCCCAACTTACCAGCGAAGAAGAATCCCTCACTACTGCTAGCAAGAAATCAAAGATTGATCCGCCAGATTCCAGCAATGATATGATCCCGTTTGAGACCCTGACTGATCAAATAGGATCGTTCATCTCAATGATGCGTTCAAAGAGCCAAGGAACTGACCAATCCGAAGAGAGTGATGGAAACATTGCTAACAAGAACTGGAATCAATCCAATAACCATGGCAACCCAAGCAAACACACCCCTAATGAAACAACACTTTCCAGAGATGAAATTATCAAAAAATTTGGAAAGATTTGCCTCTGTAATTCCTGTTTTCCTGAAAATGTAAATATTTCTCGATTGAGTTTTTTAGCTGCAAAGTCTCGACTCAGACTCCATTTTGGATTCTCAGAGACTGAATCCTTCAGTCCCCTTAGCTTGTATGCTGGCGATTGCTTAATGGGCAAATGGTCCGGAACGTCAAAGAAAGAAATGAAGCACCAAGCATGCACTGAGATCATAGCTGAAGTGCTAGCTTACCAAGAAAGAGAGGGCGGTAGTCCTCCTGTTTGTCCTGCAAGCAAGCAAACTATGGTGGACAGAAGGGAGTTAATGAGATCTGGCCTTAGGATTGATTCCGGCCTTAAGATTGACGAAGGTAACAAAGGCCACCAGTTGCTATTGAAGATGGGTTGGAAAGGAGAAGGTGGGCTTGGTGGTGGTCAGACTAATCATCCCCTTGTGTTAGTGGAGCCACGTACCAGTAGCAAACAAGGTTTTGGTGGAAGTGCTTGCTCTGCGTTATCCCAGGATGAGATTCGTGCGAGACTTACGAAATTTTTAAGCAACAAAGATGAAACCCAGCTACGGTTCCCTGCTGGTTTAAGTTCAGAGGATCGTAAGCTCATACATAAGCTGTCTGGACAGTTTGATCTCCTTCATAGGAGTCATGGTAAAGACGACGAGAGGTATTTGACCGTTACTAAAAGAACCGATCATATTGAGTCTGATCGTTTTACTGAAGAACCCTGCTGTAAATAAAATAACTGTTGTTTTTAACACTTTTGTTAAGTATAGAACAGATAGTGATGATTTTTATTATTGCGTATAATTATAGCTGGAGTCTGGCCGTCCCAGTTCCACCCACAGGGCCTGGCAGTGGCTTTTTAAAATAATAATTTTGCTTGCACATGGTGTTCAGACTGCTCACATGACTATATCTCTTAGTGTTTAACAAGAGGACTAGGTACTACATTCAGGTGTGTTTACATGAGTAAGTAGATAAGATGATACCTATTGTAATAAAATAATGGAGAATCTTGCTTAATTGTGTATGTCTATGGCATTTTGACATGTTATGTTGGTAGCCATTAAGTCTATCAGATCTATGTTGCTTGATCTACAAAGCTTTGGTAATGATAATATGTATCCATGTATACAATTTACCCAGATATTTCTCCTCTCTTTCTTTGTATTTGGCTAAAAAGCACATATAGGAGTATGTTTATAAGGAATCATGGAAGTCAACTATCCCATCAATGAACTCAAAGATACTGTTGGGCATGAAGTTGTGGCTACTCTCGACCTAAAAGAAACAAAAACTAAAACGTCAGCAACAACTCATATTGTTGATGGACTTATATCGAAATCGCTAAATAAAAAAGTAACTCTTTTAGAAGTATGCGGACACAGGAACTATAAAGGCAAGTCAAGACTATCGCTTTTCTTTCTTGCTAATCTTGCATTTACGATATCTCTCTGTGGATCGGATGCAGCTCTTAGCTCTGTTGCCCTCTCCAATCAGCTCCTCTGTGCTGGGATTGCATCACTCCAGGAGGTACAGGTGTTTGAGCTGGCGTCTCAACTGGAGAGAAGAGCTGGCAGTGTTCCCATTAAATTTCATCATCCAATACTTCAGGATTACTTGTCTGGCCTCCATTTGATATTAGAGCCAGTAATGTCAGTAATGAAGTTCGTCTTGCGTCAGATCCTCTCGCTAGATAGAGACAAGTGGAGGATATTAGAGTTTTTCTTTGGATTATCAATGACTGATATATCTCCGGTAGCGAGAGATTGTCGTTTTCACATTCTTGGCTTAATCAGCGAAGCCTTCAATGCTAATCAACCTTATGTTAATAATGAATTGGTATTGCTAATGAAGCGATGTATATACGAGACTCAAGATGATAGCTTATGCATCCAGGTCCATTATGAGCTGCTACGCTCACACATATACTGCTATAGTCTTGCTGAAATAAATGAGAACATTCCATATATTGCTAATTATCTTCTAGCACAAGAAGGTGCAGTCTGGAATATTTATTGCCGCGACCAAAGACACATTAAGGACTTCTTGGAGTCTCTAGAAAAATTGCAAAAAATTAAAAAGAAAAAGTCAAAATGTTACGACGTTAAAGAAATCGAGACTCTTGGTTTAAATTTTGATGATCAAAACACTGTTGTTATATCGCTGAGAAATATGGAATATACCATAACGACTCTCAAAGATCTCCTTGAGTCTTCTGAACTGTCTCGTCGTAATATCCGTTCAGTACAATTGGAAGGACCCCGATCGTCAGAACCATCAATGGCTGTTGCTTCCAGTTCTATAACAGTAAAGGCAACAGGACTGGCATCACAGAAACCAGCAGAAGTGCTAGCTCTCTCTTTATCGCCGTATGGGTATTTCTCTTACGAACAATACGAGAGGAGGAAGAAAAAGATGGTCCTTATTTATTATAACATGATTAAGGATCTTGTCATACCTCACATGCAAGTGTATTGCACTGTTCTCATCAACGCTCAGTACAGGAAGGATGATCACATATTATTTAAGTTCACTCGGAACATGCGTTATGATTTCTATGAAGCTGTCACCATTAATCCCATCGTCCCTATGCACTGGATAAAGGTATTCACCCTCACCATTCTTACTTCCACTGCTAGCTAGCCCATAGAACTTAGTATTATTTTTGGGGATTAATTTGTTGTTTCATTTATTAGACCACAAAATCTTGAAATAACAATAAGTAACCCACTTTATGTTTATTTATGTAGGTCAAACAGCCAAATGGCTCCAAAGAACTTGAAGATAGATTCAAGTCTATTTCCATGCAGCGATATCAGTCTCCTACAGCTGCCAGTTCTTCAGATGACACTGCTGAGCTTGTTATTCTTAATTCTTCACTGTTTGTTAGATTTATGGTCATACCCCCAACTGGGGAAGACCCTGTAATAATTAATGTCTTTGCTAATTCTGATGATTACTCTGAGTATGGCTATATTGGTTGTGACTATGACCTTGATGAGAATCAGATGAATCAAGAGACAAGATGGAAGGGAATGAAAAAATTTGATAATAACCAAGCTAATGTACTGGTACCAGTGGAACTACCACTACCATCCAATAAAGATGAAACAGATCCGAGCGAAATGACTACTAGTACTTCAGAAGCAAAATTTACTGCTAAGTAAGCTAGTATAGTAGTATTATTAGAGAATATTGTACTCTTGTTATTAGTAAGTAGTATAGTATTCATAGTTTTTGTGTATACAGAGCTTATGTGCATACATAAAATGGACAATAATGTTTTGTGTAGGACAATGAATCAATAAATCAGGTGTTAATTCTTATGTCTACTACTATGTCTATGGACTAGCTACTTGCTATAGATTTGATTTAATACTTATACATTTTCAATTTGTAGGAAGCTTCCTTCAGGTGGTGGACCAGCTGCCCCTACAGTAAAGGACTCCCCTGCAGCACCTAAGCAGCACATACCTGAGCAACAGATCAAGAGACATGCTCTTGAGGGATTTGATATACCAGGATACTGCTTTTATGTAAGTCTGGCTTTTCATTTTTGCCCATTTATTTATGTTGCATTGAAATTTTGAGCTAGTTCTGATCAAAAATGGGTTTTTATGAATTTTAAAAGTTGCATAAAAATTGGCCAAAAACCATGGGCTATTGTATAGGACATTTCAACAAAAATCGAAAGTTGCTTCAAATGCTTGTCAGCTCATGAAGCATGTGTTTAGCTCACTTAGCATGCTGGAAACCCTGCTTATGGGTAACACAGTTCTGACCAATTTTTTTTGATGTGAAAATGTGCCATTTTCATTTATTATTATTATTACTATTATTTAGGGTGATGGCTTGACGTTTATAGTTGGCAAAACCTACACTATACCAACAAATCTCCCACGTACACGTGTGCTGAGAGAAGGAGGCAATGGCATTATACTGGAGGTAGATATTACATGCACTCTTAAATGTTGTAATGTCACATTTTGTTTTATTTGGCCTGTCTAGGTCAACTTTGAAGGGACTACTTATGCAGTGAAGCAGACTGCCTTCCGCTGGAGGGAAGTATTGATAATGCCTAAACTTCATCATCCTAATGTCCTACAGTGTCTGGCATTATTGATGGGACAGCCTTTAGTGTCTTTTCCTAGGAGAAGGAATATATTTCATTTTTATCCAAGAATGACAAGTCAGTACATGTATATACAGTGTGTCGGGGATCCTACATGCTTTGTCAGCATGTTGAGTCATTGTATGAAACCCTTTGTTGTTATACTGATTGTCAAAACCTTGCAATAATATTCTGTCCTCTTTTCTATTTGCAGATGATCTTGGTCGTAATGTTGGTTCCTATGAGAGATACTGTCTTAGAAGCTTAAGAGAAAGATACAAGAATGAAATGCTCCTCTTGAATAAGATTGATAATAATTTCAAGTACCCAGAATAATAATATTGTTGCAAAGTAAGGAACAATTTATTTCAAAGACATACATGTAGACAGTGTGTGTTATTTTGAACTATTTTTCCTATAACAACCCGCTCGTAAGGCCATTCTCAATTTCATTGTTTCCCACTGCTACTCTACTTTAGCCCCACCATAAAATGGGAAACAGCTGTATGAATTTGGAGTGACCTGAAGTAGCTACAATATTGTATATTTTGTTACCATTATAACTATTGCAGATATTTTCACTATTATTGCAAGCAGACATAGCACATGTATATACACGATACACGAATATCTACACGAATTTTCTGGCTCAAGTTGATAGTGGTAGATAGAGGAGAGCAGCCTAAAATATTCGCCTTTATTTTCAGATATTTCATGTATTGTTTCAATAATCATCTGAAAAGCTTAAAAGACTGTTTCCTAATGCTTATTCTTCTGATTTTAGTGCTAATTAGGCAGGTAGCCATAGTGCATTTTTTTTTCTTTTCAACAGAACATATTCTTTTTTATGAAGTTTCAGTACCCACATGGCTTTTATCATGAGTAAATAACTGCAATGGAAGATTTCATGCAATGCTTTTTGCAATAAGTCACATATTTTTAGTAGATGAAAATACATGAAAATACACATCTACTTACAAAGTAAATACAAGTAAATACTGGTTAAAAAAATTACAATACAAGTAGATACAGAGTAGATAGAATTTGAGTAGATGTGCTATGTCTGATTGCAAGCATAATTAGCATATTGTATTAAAATTTTTAGGCTTTTGTTTCGCTCTGTCCTTGAAGCTCTCAATTACCTCCATACATTGCCTAATCCTATTGTCCATCGTGATATCAAACCTTCAAATATTCTATTAAAAACGTTGTGTGCTTGCCCTAATATATTGACATGTGTCTGTAGAAACACACCACAAATAGTAAGAACTGGAGCACAAAAATAATTTTTGTTTAATTGCAAGGATAGTTCTCTAAGTGGTGATGTTATTTATTTTAACAGGTATTGTCTGATTTTGATGCATCTCTTGAACTTAATACTGATGGCACCCTCCTTCCTGATCCTCCCAGAACTACTTCGAAAGATTTCTACGTGACAACAGATCGAACGTATCACATGTCACCAGTTGGTACTATTGGATTCAAGGCCCCTGAAGTGTTCATGTATACTATTTCCAATAGCACTGATTTGATGGAACAGATGCCAATTAAAGCTGATATATTTAGGTATTGCACTGTATATACAGTATGCTAGCTTGAAATTATGACTTTTAGTTTTGGATTGTTTTCACTACTGGTGCTACTTAATGAAGAAGGTCCCAAGTATTTAAATCAGGTTAGTTTGCTTTGTATCATATCGTGACATGTGCATGCCTGTTCATTCAAGGTTGGTACACTGTTGCTCTCAGTCCATCAATCAAGTAACATGTTTAAGCCCTTGGACCAAGCTAAGAGAGCTATGCTACTGAAAAATGGTATAACAGAGTTTAGAGTTAGTGAGCCTTGTGTTCAAGCTGCTGATATCAATAGGATTCTACCAGTAAGACTAGTTGTGATTAAATTCTACAGAATCTATTTCAAAATTTTTTTGTAGTTTGGAAGACTTAAGAAGAGTTTGTCTGAAGTTCCTCATTTGATTGATTTTGTTGAAAAGTGTCTTGTACTGGTCCCAGCTAATAGAGTCATTGCAAAAGACCTTCTGAATCATCCATACCTTAGATAGCACATCATTAGTTCCTTTTATAAGAAATTAAAATTTAATCTAGATCCAAATAAAAAAATTCATAAAAATGTAGAAATTAATTAAACTTGAAGTCACGCCCTATTCGTTTCAATAATATAACAATGGAGTATCTTTATGGCCTACCCTATCTTGTTCTTCACCAGCCCCAGTTGAAGATAAAGAAACCATCCTTCATCAAAGCTCCCTCTTCGACTGTTGTATTCGCTGCTATAATGGTCTCTTATTTCCTCGTGACTGGTGGTGTTATATATGACGTGATTGTTGAGCCGCCCTCCATTGGTTCGACCACTGATGAATTTGGACACTCAAGACCCGTAGCTTTCATGCAGGTAAAGATTAAATTGAGATTATATTTAGATAGAGATTACATTTATCCTTGTGCCTTGTTCACACTATTGTTTGCACCTATTCCTATAACAAGCCCCACCCAGTGACAGCAATTTGTATAATAATCTTTTTAAAAATTTTACTTACTTTTGTAGTATCGTGTCAATGGGCAGTACATTATGGAAGGATTGGCGTCAAGTTTCCTCTTTAGTCTGGGAGCGATTGGTTTTATTGTGTTAGAACGAAGTGACTCTAACGGTCTTTCAAGATTCAACAGGATCATGTTGATGTCCTTTGGCCTGTTTTGTGTCATTGTTTCATTCTTTGCATGCCGTGTCTTCATGACAATGAAACTACCGTAAGTCCAATAATGTTATTAATGAATATATGCCCAATGGTTTCCTATTCTTTATGTTGCTCAACAAAAATTTCAAATTAATTAGTTTTGGCTTAAATTTTAGCATAAGGGCATCAATTTTATAATAGCCAATATATTTAAAGAAGCACAAACTCAAAAATAGGCATGTTTTTGTAATAATAATGCAGATAATTTTTGTGACGACATTATCATAATTATTGTTAATTTTTTTGTAGAGGCTACCTAAGGTGAACAATCCCACTCTTCAATAGTAGGACAATAACACTTCGTTCATTTGAATTGTAACATTGTAAAACTATTATTTCCATTAAATATTGTGGAGGTTGTGCGCATGCAGAGGAACATGTATCTGCATCACTAGGACATCATAGCCTTTGGCCGAAATTGATCAAAATTAGCAAAAAATTAATGAGGGCATGCATGTGTATCAATAAAAGTTATAAAAATAGAGAATTCTTTTCAAGTCATTTTTGGCGAAATTTGGCCAAAGTCCCTGTACTATAGTACAGGGCGTTTGACCCCATTTTTAAGTAACTTTAAAATTCTGTAAAAAATTCAATTTTGATCGGAATTGGTTCAACCTTGCTATACAACATCAGGACATGTATGTGTATCAAAAATAATATAAAAATGGTAAATTCTTTCCAAGTCATTTTTGGCGAAATTTGGCTCAAGTCCCTGTACTATAGTACAGGGTGTCAGACACAATTTTTGAGTAACTTTAAAATTCTGTAAAAAAATTTAATTTTGATCGGAATTGGCTCAATCTTGCTACACAACATCAGAACATGTATATGTATCAAAAAATAATATAAAAATAGTAAATTCTTTCCAAGTCATTTTTGGCGAAATTTGGCTCAAGTCCCTGTACTATAGTACAGGGTGTTTGACCCAATTTTTGAGTAACTTTAAAATTCTGTAAATAATCCAATTTTGATTGGAATTGGTTCAGCCTTGCTATACAACACCAGAACATGTATATGTATCAAAAAATAATATTAAAATGGTAAATTCTCTCCAAGTCATTTTTGGCAGAATTTGACCCAAGTTCCTGTACTTCACAAAAAATTTATATTTAATCAGAATCAGCTCCAAAATTTTTAGACAGCATAAGAACATCTGTATGGATCATAAAAATTGAGAATTCTTTTATATAAGGCCACTGTTGATCAGTATTACCAAAGCTATTATGTCTGTCATTGATTCGTGAGGGTTGTTGAAATACTGTTACTATCACATGGTTGCGTAGGCATGCTTATGTCACTATTGGCAGTTATGACAACACATCAACTATAACAATGCTTAAAAAATAAAAGACAATCACAAATGTTAATTTAGTTTTTCATATTTCATTGACTCTGGTAACTCGATTGCATCATCATTTCTTTTCTTGAACAGTAACCTGTTTAGAATCAAAGTTACTAGCTGAATGGAAACGAATTAGGGAGACTAAGTTATAATAAAACATTTACACACAGGCCTCAATCAAATTGTGAAAAGGTTATTAGCTATTACACATGATTAGGGATGACCAACATGTACAACTAAGATATTAATATATATTCCTTACAAGATGAGTGGAATGAGTGCAGCCCAAAAACCAGCAGTGATCCAAAAAACTATCCCAGCATTGTAATGATGTCCATTCACTTCAGCCTCTGGATGATAAACCTTGTTGAATAGTACAGTTGAACCAACTGATGTGAGCAGTTGTAGGGATGTAGCCAAAGTTTGAACAGCTCCTGCATGCATTTAACAAAAGTGTACGTGATTAAAGGTATGGTATATGCAGGCAAATTTGAACTAACCAAAATCCTCAGGTTTAACGAGACCAGCCAATATAGCTCTCCCTGCTGGAAATGCAACTTGTTGTAAAGTTTGAACTGTTCCAGCTATCAAAGAAGAATTATTTTGCAATAATTATTATGGCATAGCAGTCTTACCTAGAAATATCTCCCAAGTAGTTCTGAGAGTGGCCATCATAACATTAGTGGTAATAGCAATCACTACAGCAAACAGTATAATGAAAGGATTGGAATACGCCTCAGGAATAGGTATTGCTATCAGGAGTGGTAGAACAACAATCAAAGCAAGACACTGAGTAATAGAAGTTACAGAACCATAAATACCAATAAAGTCGTAAGACCACTCTAGTGGTTTGTTGTGTAGGAAGTAGTTCAAGACTTGAGTTATTCCAATAACACATAGAAACTCTATGCAAATGACTATCACGCAAACCCATATCCTCCACCATTTGGAGAACCCAGATCTGCTAGGGATGAAGAAGACTTTGAAGCCATCTGCAAGTTTCTTAAAACCTCCCTCCTTCCTTTTTTCTTTTGGAGGTAGTGACTCTGGAACTAGAAGTGTGTATGAAATTCCAACAAAACCAATGGCAAGCATTAAGTATGCTGGACCTTTGAAATAACACCCATTATCATTGATCCAATAATAAGCTAACAGGTAGCTCAATGCTTTGCTGAAACCAAACGCTGATCCTGTTGTTCCCAGTCTTAGTGTTCGCCATTTTTTTGTTGTTACATCAGCAATAGAAGCATAAGCAACTCCAATTGTAGTTGCTCCTCCTCCAGTGAGCCCATTAAGAGCAGACGCTATCAATAAATATACGTTCATATTGAGATCAAACTCAATAACTGCAACCTGTAAAGCACTTGAGAGAAAGAGTCCTGAGAGGCAAAGAACTAAAATTGGTTTTCGGCCAACAATATCAGATAAGGAACCGTATATAACAGACAATATTGCTGATGAAACCAATGCAATGACCTCAATATATATACCCAAGGTGTTAGCTTTCTGCTGTATTTGTATGATGGAATCATTGTTACCAGTAGCACTCACAATGTGGTCTTGATCTAGACAGATAGACTCATTGGGTGCGGTGTAGTTAGGTGTATTTGAGAGAGCCTCGCGAGCTAGAGTCTGGAATATGTACTGCTGGACTATCTGAGTGGAATATAAGTAGAGCAATTGAGAGAACACCATAAAAATCTCAATTACAAAAATACGTCTTCTCCATTTAGCCCAGCGACTCTCCTCTGAAGTATCATCTCCATCTTTATTCTCACATAAAGGATGTACAAGAAGCTTTGAGTTAGGAGAAGTCTCAGACTCCATAACCAGAATTTGCAGTTGTCACCCAACAGGAGTGGCTGAAGGCTGGGTTATTATCTAATAATCTATAATAATAATAATAATTAATGACTCTTAAATCATAGAATTTGCTTAAATACCATGTCTCATCATGCAGACTAGCTAGAATTATTTTTTTAATAAATAAGAAATTTTATGTTTCACTCTCTAAGTTCATCTGTTCAAATTTGAATGTATTTGGTGCACTAGACCTGCTGTTACTATCGTTAGACCTAACTTTCTTGAATAGTAACCTAAGATAGAATAAACTTATAATACACCAGTGCATATATATTCCTTACAAGATGAGTGGAATGAGTGCAGCCCAAAAACCAGCAGTGATCCAAAAAACTATCCCAGCATTGTAATGATGTCCATTCACTTCAGCCTCTGGATGATAGACCTTGTTGAATAGTACAGTTGAACCAACTGATGTGAGCAGTTGTAGGGATGTAGTTAAAGATTGAACAGCCCCTGCATTCATATTTAAAACAAATAAATACTTTTGAGGACTGACCATAATCTTCAGGTTTAATTAGACCAAATATTATAGTTCTCCCAACTGGAAATGCCACCTGTTGTAAAGTTTGAATTATCCCAGCTATCAATAAAAAAATCAAGCTAAATCGTAATCATGACAGTGCAATATAATGTGTAGAGTTACCTAAAAACATTTCCCAATCATATTTGATAGTAGCCATCAAGATGTTAGTGGTAATAGCAATCACTGATGCCAAGAGTATAATGAAAGGATTGGAATATGCCTCAGGGATAGGTATTGCTATCAGGAGCGGTAGAACAACAATCAAAGCAAGACACTGAGTAATAGATGTCACTAGTCCATAGATACCAATGAGGCCATAGGACCACTCGAGTGGTTTGTTGTGTAGGAAATAGCTCATGATTTCATCTATTCCAACAGCACAAAGAAACTCTACACAAATAACTATCACACAAACCCATACCCTCCACCACTTTGAAAACCCTATTCTCCTAGGAATAAAAAAAGTTTTGAATCCATCTGCAAGTTTCTTAAAACCTCCCTCCTTCCTTTCTTCTTTAGATCGTGGCAGTGACTCAGGTATTAATATTATATAAGTAAGACCAACAAAGCCAATGGCAAGCATTAAGTATGCTGGACCTTTGAAATCACACCCGTTATTATTGATCCAATAATAAGCTAACAGGTAGCTCAATGCTTTGCTGAAACCAAACGCTGATCCTGTTGTTCCTAGTCTTAGTGTTCGCCATTTTTTTGTTGTAACATCAGCAATGGAAGCATAAGCGACTCCAATTGTAGTTGCTCCTCCTCCAGTGAGCCCATTAAGAGCAGACGCTATCAATAAATATACGTTCATATTGAGATCTAACTCAATAACTGCAACCTGTAAAGCACTTGAGAGACAAAGGCCTGAAAAGCAAAGGATTAAAAATGGCTTTCGACCAAATATATCAGACAATGAACCATATATAAGAGACAACACTGCCGATGAAACCAACCCAATGATTGCAATATACATATTCAAGGTATTAGTTTTCTGTTGTATCTCTATGATAGAATCATTGTTACCAGTAGCACTCACAATGTAGTCTTGATCTAGACAGATGGACTCATTGGGTGCAGTGTAGTTAGGTGTATTTGAGAGAGCCTCACAAGCTAGAGTCTGGAATATGTACTGCTGAACTATCTGAGTGGAATATAGGTAGAGCAATTGAGAGAACACCATAAAAATCTCAATTACAAAAATGCGCCTTCTCCACTTAAGTGACCGCTTCCATAAGCCCACTTGCTTTGGTGTAGCAGGATCATTTTCTAAATAACGATCAGAATAAGTGAAAGGAGATTCTTCTTCCCATTCAAAATCCTCTCCACTAAACTCTTCTTCTTGATTCATTTCTTTGGGTTGGGTCATGCTAAGAATGTGCAAGTGTCAGTTATTATTGTAGTCCCACAACTGCTGATAAAAGGTGGTGGTGATGACACATCTATAAACATTAGTTTGTTGCTTTGTAATGTTTGGCACTGCTAATCAAGGTCCTGACTTTCTCCTTTCTCTTTTGTCAATGAACATTAATCTATAAATAAAGCAAAACATAATCTATTTCACACACGCAATGTTCATGCAGGATTAAAAGCATAAAATAACACTAGATCTAGCTTACAGAATAAGTGGCATCAGTGCAGCCCATAGACCAGGAGTAATCCAAAACATTATCCCAGCATTGTTTCAGCTTCTGAACAATACATCTCATTATAAAGAACAGTTGTATAGCACCAAGAGTACATTATGTACTCTTGATAGCACACATTATTGTCCTACATAACAAGTGGTATAATCACTCCCCAGCAACCAGCAGAGATCCAAAACATTATCCCAGCATTTTAATTACATCCATTCACTTTAGCCTCTGGATGATAGATCTCATTTAAAAAAAACAGCTGAAGCAACTGATGCAAACATTTATATTGAGGCGGTAACAGTTAGAACAACTCCTGGGATTAAGAAATTCATTGTAATCTAAAATTTAAAAACACTAACCGTAGTCTTCAGATTCCACAAGACCTTACAATATACTGTTTGATGCTGGAAATCCAAGCTGTTGTAAACTTTGAACAATACCAGCTAAATATAAAAATAAAACTTATCAACTAATTTTTTATAATAAATTAGAAAATTATAAAAATGAAAAAATTCTCTCCTAGTCATTTTTGGTGAAATTTGGCCAAAGGCTATAGTACAGGGACTTTGACCCAATTTTTGAGCAACTTTGAAATCAAAAAAATCCAATCTTGATCAAAATTAGCTCAAAATTTTTATGCAACATAAGGACATGTAAATAGAGGAAAAAATTACAAAAATGAAAAATTTTCTGTTAGCCATTTTTGGAAAAATTTTTGCCAAAGTCCTTGTACTATATTGGCCCCATTTTTGAGTAACTTAAAAATTCATAAAAAATCTAAATTTGATCGGAATCAGTTCAAACTTGCTACACAGCATAAAAACATGTATATGCACCAAAAAAATTTATAAAAATGGAAATTTTTTCTTAGTCATTTTTGATGAAATTTGGCCAAAGTCCCTGTACTATAGTAAAGGGACTTTGGCCCAATTTTTGAGCAACTATAAGAATTCATAAAAAATCCAATTTTAATCGGAATCAGCTCAAACTTGTTACACAGCATAAGAACATGTATACGTATCAGATAAAATTATAAAAATGAAGAATTCTCTCCTAGTCAATTTTGGTGAAATTTGGCCAAGTACCCTGTACTATAGTACAGGGACTTTGGCCCAATTTTTGAGCAACTTTAAAAATTCATAAAAAATCCAATCTTGACTGAAATCAGCTCAAACTTTCTGCACAACATAAAAACCTGTATACATATCAGAGAAAATTATAGAAATATAAATTTTTCTTGTAGTCATTTTTGGTGTAATTTGGCAGAATCAACTCAAAACTTCTACATGACATATGAATTGGCACTTACCTACAAACATTTCCCAATCTGTTTTAACTGTTTCCATCATCGCATTAGTACCAATAGCAACTAAAGCAGCAAAAACTATGATGAAAGGATTTAGAATGGGTTCTGGGGAATAGGCAGTTCCATTAAAAATGGTAGAGTAGCAATGTGAGATACAGCAGGGAGCAATCAGTAGTCCATAAATACCAATAAAGTCATAAGTCCACTCCAGTGGTTTGTTATGCGAGTAGTAGTTAATAATTTGACCTATTCCAACAGCACAGAAACCTTGTATGCTCATTACTGCTACACAGATTAACCAATTAGGGAATCTTGGATTTTAAAAATGTAGGCACCATTAGCAGGCCGTTTAAAGCCCCAATCTTTCCTTTTCTCTTTATGTGGCAATGATTCTGGTAGACACATTAGGTATACGAATGCTACAACTGCAACCCAAAGCAATGAATATGCTGGATACTTGAAATCACAACCGTTATAGTTAGTCCGATAATAAACAATGAGGTAGCTTGACATCTTATCAAAACCAATGGCTAAATTCTGTTGTACTCATGAGTAGCATCCACCATTTTTTTGGAGTAACATCACTAACGGCAGCAAAGGAGACCCCGAGGATAGATGTTAACCCTCCAAAGCACCCGTTAATCTCAGCAGCTGCTATTAGTATGTACATGTTAAGCTGGAACTCAATGACAGTGACTTGCAATTCACAGCACAATGTGAGGCCAAAGAGACAAAGAGCTTGAACTGGTTGCATGTCATCAGAACACATTTCCACAAGTTCATTCCCAGACTACTCATACTGACGTGGATTGGCTTATTACTGGCCTTTGCCTCTGAACTATTACGTACACTTCTGATTGCATTCTCTCATAATCCACACGTCTATAATTTTCCAAACAACAACGATTATGCATTAGTGCTACCACAGGTGCTATTGGGAATATCTTATGCTCTCACTGCCACAGCCTCAATTGAGTTTACAATAGCACAAGCTCCTATATATGTGAGAGGATTAATGGTGAGTATGTTCTATGCTTCATTTGGCATTGGTTTTTCCATAACTATGATTACTTTATATTTATTTTG